TGTTTGACCTGTGAAGGGCGGACAAACTTAATGCGGACGGAGGGACACAACCAGACTGACGGCGAAAGCAAAAACATTATGTCTCCAAATAGTTTTGGGAGACATAATTATGCAAATAAAAAAAGTAAAAAAATGAAGAATTTTGGGGTCAGTTTTTCTTCTTATTTAATGAGTATTTTATTGCATGATTAATTAGATAAAGCTAAAGTAAAAGAGAAGTCAACCTGTGAACACAAGAACATATATTCAAATTACATTACTAATTTCCAACAAGTGCACATTATAATGCTATTTATTCTCTTTCAGTATTTTTTTTTCTTTTGTACAGGATTATTGTTAATATCTTAAAAAAATTATCTAGGGAAACGAATTAAAGTCCTCATGTCCAAAAATGACAAGGCTGACAAAAGCCCTCATGTCCAAAAATGACAAGCCCTCCCGTGAAAATGACAGGGCTGCCTGTCAGGGCGTACAAAAGCCCTCCTGTAAACATGACAAAATGGACAAAAACCCTCTCATGAAAATAACAAGGAGGAAAACCCCTCCCATGTAGATAACAAGGCAGACAATAGCCCTACTATAACAAAAAATATATAATTATGTATGTTAATATACCTTGTTGTTGTACTCAACATATAAAAATTGTTACATATTTATTGCTGTTTTCAATTGGACCAAGTGTATCATGAGCTAGAACTAAAGCCATATTTCGAAACATTCTGGACATGCATCTGAATAATTAAATGCTAAATTCTGTATGTATATATAAGTAATTGACTCATTACAAGACATGTTATAAACGTCTCAGACTTTTGATAATTTCTGATAGTTTTAGTTGGTAATTTAAACTTCTTTTTATCATTTTTTACTCTTTTAAACTAAACTTCATATAGGAGTAATCTCTTCATATTTACGTTAACAAATATGCAATTACAGATATTAGCATTTATTATTCAGATGCCTGTTCAGAATATGGCAGAAGTGTGCTAAATAATCAATAGGTCAGGACTAGTCACTAGGTCATTGTGAAGGTTGTGTGCAGTAATTTTATGACAACTTGAGTTGACGAGTTATTGGTCGGAAACCGTTTTTACGTGAAAGGTCAAGTTCACTACCAAAGGAACATTCCTGTGAAGTTTGGATGAAATTGGCTTTAAAACAGTTTATGAGGAGATGTTGTTTAAAGTAAAAGTTTACAGAAGGACAACGGACGAAAAGCGATCACAAAAGCTCACCATGCAAATGTTGTGACAGGTGAGCTAAAAACTGGGTGCTTAGCATTAGCTAGACATGTGTGCACATTGAAGTCTCCCAACAATTATCCCGACAAACAGTCTATTGTTGCAATTTATAGCTTTAAAAGGTCAATGAAATCAACACCACAATTACCACTAATAGACTATGTTGTGTTTATTGCTTGCCGAAAATTCATAAACAACACACAACTTCAGCTGCAATCAATTTGATTATTGGAAAAATTGGCAATCTGACTGGCTGAGGAGTCATAATGGTTGACAAGCTTAAAGTTCCGCCTTAAAACTAAGCAGTTGTCTTGAAGATGTTTCACTACCCTGTATGTATAAATATTTCTTACTTTTATGTAAATATTACATACTTCACGATTAACGCAAATAAAAGCATATGTCGTGCCTTGAGGGTACCTATGTGTTAAAAAATGAGAGGGAGCCTGTGATGTAAAAATTCAAATGAAGAGAGGTAGCCCGTGCCGCTGCAAAACCGAAAGTAGGGTGTTTATATGAATTTTACAATTATTTTTGACAATATACTGCCATTTGTCCGAAGATGATATGTAAATGAACATACTAAATATGTATGATGCATATATAATCAAGCCACAGGTTCATACCAGTCCGAAAAGTATGTCGAGGTGATGGGCGAAGCAAGACATGTTGATTTTTTGTAGCTTATTGTGAAGTTGCAGTACATGAAAAACGGGCACATGACAAATCAGCACATAGATAAAACATTCTAGTGTTCCGTGGTATACATCTTTTCCACGTGTCATACCTCCTTTCCTTATTACAATGACTTTTTACTGGCTTGTTATCCATCGCTGGTTTGTTTTGAGCAGAGAATGACCTGTGCATGTACAAAGAGGGTACTGTTTCAGCAGATTTCGCAAAGAGGGTACCGATATGGATATGCACCGTGATTTTTATTATTGTCAATTGATATCGTGGTTAAAAAAATCAATGAATTAGTCAAATAAATTTACATATTCAAATACACTGAACGCATGCCGTTCTATATAAATTTTTAGTTCATTTTTTACCTATATTCATATAGTTTTCTTTCTTCTTCATCTTGCTTCGAGTCTGCCATGTTTAATAGTTATATACAATAATGTAAAAGATATAATCCGGATAGTATTATTCGGAGAAAGTTTTAATTTTTAGCTGTCAAATTTGACATGAGCTATTGGAGACACACATCTATCCCATACCATATTGCGCATACTCATCCGAATTAAAACTTAAATCCATATTGATAAACAAGTTTCATTCCTACAAATATACCCCAACACAACAACGAAGACGTTTAAAAAAAGTATTGACACATAGATCTATATGATGTTATTCTGGCTCACTCTACGTCACACAGCTACTTGTTACTTTGTTATTTCCCATCAAACTTGGACGTCCGAAATGTGTAGAATTACCGTGTCTCGTAAGAATATTAGCGCTGTGAGAATTACTTCAAAATATCAAAGTACTCACAGTAGTATCACAATGGACATGCATAATACAATGCAATATATAAATGCTTCATCTCTCTGATCTGGCTGGAACATACGTTATAGTACATCCCAGGATCTGGGCAGATTAATTTTGGCATTTCAATAATTAATGAAAATACATATATCATGAATAATCAATGTACTGATAAATACTATACTGATATTTAAGTTTTTTCTATAAATACAGGATTTATTTTCATTGAATCACGGATTTATATTACAGGGATTGGACACTCCCAGTTAACCCTATATAAATGCTTAAATATCTTGTCGTGCACCCGATAAAGGTACATCGATCGATAATTTACCGGCGCTAAGCGTAAATGCCCGTTCGCAACGGATACCTACTTTACAAAATACCATATAGCTTTTCCATTTATTATCCGAATTTGGAAATTTAAAGTTTATTTTGAAGAAAAATACTTGCCTAATTCAAATATCTAATTTATTTTTTAAAGGTACAGTTTATGTGTCCGCAACGACGATTAAAAAATTAACTTGACGAAATCCGCGGTAAATTTACATTTTTTATATAAAACAGGTATTATGGTAACATAATAAATTCAATTTCAAAATAAAAAAGAAGCCGATGTAAGTTATTCACAGATGATCAAAGATGCAATATTTAAGATTTATTGGGTTATGTAGTCAAATTTATTAAGGTACAATTGTTTTACGGGTAATGTATTGCGGGCTTTACAATTCGCTCAACACGTGAAGAAAATTTATTCATTATTTTAGTACAAAATATTGCCGAGATTTTAATATTGCCATTTTCATAGAAAATTTAAATTTCATTAATCATTTATGTCATTGTTATTTTTTGTAAATCTGTTTTCAAAAGTCAGTGCAGTGAAGTAGACAATCATCGTAAGTTTTAAAAGTACGCTCGTGTGGCTGTCTCGATTCCGGCCTTTTTAATGTCACTCGTATATTTTAATTATTCTTTTTATTTGAATGCCTTCTGATATTTTTAATGTAACGCTAGAAAAAAAACAACAATAAAAATCTTTACAGTTTGAGTCAGTATTATGCAAAATAAAAGTAAATTTTGATTATTTTTTTACACATCGCTTAAATTAATTTGAAGTTTAATTACTTTTGAAGGTGGTTAATTACCAGGTAACAAGTGATAATTGAAAAAAAACTTTATTTTCAAACTTTCATAACCAGGTTACATGTGATAATTGCAACTTTCAATCTTCAAAAACAATTATAATTCGAATGTATATTTTGTATGTGCGCCGTCTTAAACTACAGTCCATGGTATGTGTTTCTTAAGAGGATATATATAAATACAATGTAAATCTTTTTTCTTAACTAACATTTATAAATGAAATTGAAAATATATAAAATATTTGTATAGTCCTTTCTTTGAAAAATAATGAAAATAAACATATGACAAATAAATCATTTGACGTGAATTGTGAAGGATAACTATGAAAAAAATCTGTTTCAAAATAAAAAAAAATATCATAAAACAGCTGTTCCGTATGCAAATAAAAGTTTCTTCTTTGCCAATCTAATGAATTCATCTATATATGAACACTTGTCTAGAATGATCTGAAAATATATTTAATACACTAATTAGTAGAATATTTACTATATTTATACTAACATACAGGTAATCAAATAAAAAATGTACAAATCATTTGGAAATAATTCACAGAAATAAAGACAAATTTCAAACATGAATTTCTTCAAAAGTTTTTAAGCAATCAAGAAACATTTTTTTGCAATGCACCCATTAAACCATGTAAAAAATAATTACCTTAATCTGAATCGCAGTAATAATTTGTGCTTGAAGTAAAAGGGCGTCAAAGTGTAGAGAGTATGCCTAAACAATAGGCGAATATTTTTTAAATTAGGTACTTTTTTAACTAAGCGTTGCATCGTTCTATCGGCTTGTTTTAATATATTAATACATTAGCGACACAAAATAATACTGTATCAATACATTCATATGTATATATTGTTTCACAAAGCTGCAATAACACCACATACTCTTGTGAAAATCAGTCATATTTCGCACTCCGCGCGTTCCGCCATCTCTCATTCTGTCCACCTTTATCCTATGTGCGATTCCGCGCATGCGCGCGACGAGACTTTAAGCTAAACGGAAGTGTCCGATCCTTGTAATATAAATCCGTGATTGAATATTTCACGAGTGACAGTAATTTTCATATCACAATATGAGAATTTTTGCTTTACAATCATGTAAACTGATAAAGATTTCATTTACCTGCCACCTAATTGTACATGGTAATGGAAGATTGAGGACAAAGGTGAAACACGCCCTCTGTTTCCACCCTCTAAATCAACCTGGCAAGACTTAAATGACAAGTTATCAGACATCATTGAACGTGTAGTTGGTGATAATGGAAGATGAATATCTGAAAAAGTTAATATGACATTTAATCACACTCTCTATATAACATATATGATTTTTAACAAAACAGTGAAAAGGAACATTTTGGCTTCTAATCTTTTATAGAGTTTACGGTAATATTCAACTAACAATAGTTTGTTTCGTAAATGAACCATAATTTTAGTTTTACAATGTTTTTCAAAACAATGTATCAAAATATATATTGTATTTTCTGTAACAGTGACAATGACCAATGGTGTATCAGATATTATCAAAGTCCCTCCGCATGCTCTGGAAAAACTGAATACACTGCCCTCCTGCCAGGGGTTATTTCATTACATGTCAAAACACACATCAGGTTTCCTTTGACTTCAAGTTGACCTTTCACCTAGAGACCTGGTTCATGGCAACAAAAAACATCTCATGGTGGTGAACATTTGTATCAAGTCATACTTAAATACCTCCATGCATGTAGAAGATATGCCCGTGACAAAACCGGACACTACATTGACCCTACTTGCAGCCCCCAGCCCCCACCCATGCAAGGGTATTATGTATCACAATTTTTTAAACAGGTCAATCAAAAGTTTAGTTACATGGCATTGCAAACCTTCACCTCATTATGACAACACCAGGAAGTGTAAGATAATTAATCTAAAAACATGTCACTGAGACATGTCACGATGTAAAATATGGCATTTTATAGTACAGCATGCATGCAACACTTAATGATGATGTTTAACATACCAACATCTTCATCCAAATCATCACAGTCAAAAAATTCATCATCATCTATGGAGAAACTTCTGGCTCGTATATTATGTGAATATGTTCTCTCCAGCTCATGATGTTCTATTGCTAATGCATGCAAGGCCTCCTGTAACACTCGATTCTTTTCTTTCTCCTCATGTAGTAATTTCTCTCTCTCCTGTTATAATATTATACATGTTATACTACAATTACTTTATGCAAATCTAAATCCTTTAACACATCTTTGAGTAGAGTCAACCCTGAAACAAGAGCTGTCCCATGATACATTATTGACCTAATCCTAGTGCTTTATATCTAAGCAAAAGCCATGAAGGAATACTTCAGATACAGAAGAGGGGTTATAGGTTTTGGTAATACAATATAATCATGATCTAAAAGACATGTGTGATTAGATTCGTTGTAATAAATCTAACAAAGTAACAGCCATTTGCAGGCTTAATTTTGTCAGTAAATGTTGAAATAATAAATGTCTGTGTTAAGTTAGTATCAAATCCAATGCAATGGTTATAAGTTTATACTAATTTATTTTAGTTTGATTGTCTAGGAAGCTATAAGCTTATTGAAATACTCTTAAATTCTGTTCCTGGAACCAACTAGTACTAAGGAAAGAGTGTAAAATTTCTTGCTCATGGAAACAACAGCTTGCCCCTGACAGGGTTTGATAATGCAGCCAGCAATCGTTAGATTACTAGTCTTTACTAGTGACATTAATCACTTGGCCATGCCACCACTAATCACATTTTAACAGTTAGATGTAGATGGCCCCCTATCTGTTTTCTTTAGTGCAGCCAGATTCAGGACAACAGACAGTCAGTGATTACAATAGCTCACCTTAAGCACATTGTGCTCTACTGAGCTACTAACAATGTAATCACAACTCTTGCGAAATTCAATTATTTGACCTTGATGGTCAAGGTCATTTTAAGGTCAAGGTCATATTTGAATTATTTTACATCATTTGTGCCTTTAAAATAGTTTTGTCCAAGTATCAATCAAATTCGTAAAAAAGTAATAAAGTTATCACAATATATGCAAAATTCAATCATATGACTTTGACAGTCAAGATCGTTTTGAAGTCAAGGCCATATCAGACCTATTCAACATGTCTGTTTTGCAACTGGTTTGTTTTGTCCAAGTTTGAATATAATCTTTAAACAGATAACAAAATTACTTCAGTTTTAGAAAAATTCAATAATCTGACCTTGATGGTCAATGTTGTCAAACTTGAATAGTTCAACATTTTTATAGTGTAATAAATACTTTTTTTATCCAAGTATAAGTCAAATTCATAAGTAAATAAGAAAGCTATGACAATTTAAACTAAATTCACAGAAGTGACCAATATCCATAATCGTCTTTAAGGCACACAATGTTTTTATGTTGGTCCATTCACCATTATTTTTGAAGGTTATCATTTGAGCTAAGTTCAAAGGAACTCATTCAAGGACTATAGAATTTCATTGCCTAACATTTGACTTTCAAGAGTGACCTTGACCTTGAGCTGGCAAAGCCAAATCATAGGTTTTGCATGTCATCTTTTAGAGCCATGTTCATACAAGGTGGAGACAACTGACAGTAAGACAGCACAATTGTCATCAGGTATGGGTTCTGTTCATCACCTTGTAAAACATCTGAGCCAAGTTCAAAGAAATGCTTGCAGGGAAAAAGGTTTTAAAAAATTGGCTGTCTCATATTCAACTTCAAGTGTAACATTCCTTGACCTTTGAACCAGAACAATGTGAACATACAACAATTTTCATAGTTTTAGCTCTCAATGAAAACAAGAGCATCGCGAAGGTGGGCAATATATGCTCTAATGTAAATTTGTTTGAGTAGTCAAAAAAAATCTTTCAACAAGAAATGTCGAACAACAAATGCCCCCCCCCCCCATTCTTAGCCCTTGACTCACATAATTGGTAATTTTGTTATAGAAACTTGGGTACATGGAAGTGTTCAATTATGGAAAAAAGAAAAATGATGAAGACTTTGTGATAAATAGTTTTCAAGATAATGAGACATTTAGGCCCCTGTGACCTAGTCCTAGAACTAGTTACCCAAAGTCAATAGGGGTCATCTAATAGTTATTACTAACAGACAGACCAACATTAGCAAAACAATATACCCCCTCTTCTTTGAAGGGGAGCATAATTAGGGAAGAGACACAATCAAGAAACTTGTCTGAAAAATGTTTTATCTTAATAATCCTTATCATACTGTATGACCTCCAAGGTAGAAGCATTTTTTACCCTAGGTGCATGATTCATAAAACTTTTATGAAGGTCTACTAGTCAATGCTATGTGTTTTTCAATACATTAGTGTACATAAAGCAAGCAACTCCCAAGGGCAGGGCCAATTTTGACTTGAGAGTCAGGATTAAACTATTTTTGTGACATCTACAAATTGATGCTGCATGCCAAATATCTAAGCTCTGTGCTTTGCAGTTTCCCACAATAAGATTTAAATGTGTTTTCCTACATTAGTCTATATAACTTAAGTCACTCAGGTGCCAGTTTTGATCTGAAGAAGCCCAAATCTGCTTCTTGCACATCATCTTGTACGTAACATTTCAGTTAAGTAGTTTAAAGTTCCTTCTAGAAGTTCTAAAGAAACAGAGTAGACACAAAATTTTCAAATTCATACATAATGATCAGGTGTGACCTCAAGAAGCTGGGGAAGGTCAAACCTGCGCTCTGCACATCATTTCATTATGGTCAACATTTCTGCAAAATTTATTTCATTTTTTTCTCCATTGGTTTAAAAGATACAGAGCTGACATGAAATTGTCAACAGATGGACAGAATGATGGACAACCAGGTGCATAACATATGCCTTTATAAAAAAGCAGACATATATGTGCACTGATGGAAAGGCCTGCTATTAAATGCTAACAAAACTATACTACACAATAAACTTACCTCTTGTTCCTGAGTATAAACATTAAGACACTTGTTTAAGGATGAACACATATCCTGGGAATATTTTACTGTTTTCTGTAGTTCTTCCTCTAAATGCACAACATTTCCTGATATAATATAAATAGCAAATAAACAAATTTATTGAATTAACATCACCAAGTGAATGATACAAATTTTGAAGGTTTTATTTGTTATGTAGCACAATATTGAGCTAAGCAATGTCAAGCAAAAGATACCTTTTTCCTACGAAGTTCATTTGAGAACAGTTTGACTTCCTGTCAAATATAGAGGATAACTAGAAATGTGTCGTCACGCCACGGATGCCCCCATATGCAGCCAAAATTTCAGATGTTGTAATATTTAGTTCCAAATTTGTTTGCACAAATTTTTCTTTTTTTTTCATTTTAAGTTCAAAGCCCTAAAAACTATTCAATGTTAACACAGACCATTTTTATACAACATTCTAGGCTCTGAAACTATTCAGTGTTAACCTTTTGTAAATTGCATATTGCATATTTGTAGCCAAAATAATGGCTACATACATTTCGACAAAAGTATGAGTGCTGAAACTGAAAATTCAAAATTTATCCAAAAATCAAGAAAGATAACTTTTTCTAAAATCATTGAACCACAACCAAATTCAAACTTGAACTGCTTATTCCTAAGATGTATCTATATGTCAAATTTGAGTTGAATGTGTACTGAAAATGAACTGAAACTTAAAATTTTTGATTTTTTTTCAAAGTTTAAGAGGGATAACTCTGTCAGCTATTATCAAACCATGACCAAATTTGAAATTGACCAATGCATTCTTACCAATGCATTCTTATGACATATCCATATCTTTAATTTGAATTGAATATGTACAAATGTTGGGGAGATAATGAATGAGAACTGAAAATTTCCTTTTTTTTTCAAAGTGAAAGGGGCAGAACTCTGCCAAAAATCATTGAACCATGACCAAATTCAAACTTGACCTGCACATTCCTTTAATGTATCCATATGTCAAGTTTGAGTTGAATGTGTAATACTGTTGGGGAGATAATGAATGGAAACTGAAAATTTCATATTATTTTCAAAGTAAAAGGGGCATAACTCTGCCAAAAATTATCGAACCATGACCCAATTCGAACTTGACTTGTATTTTCTCATTTGAGTTAAGTATGTGCAACTGTTACTAAGATAATGAACGGAAACTGCTGAAGACGGAATGAAGGAAGGAAGGAAGGACAGAAGGACAGAACAGGGTAACACTATATGCCCCAGCCATTATATGGCGGAGGCATAAAAACTCTGAACTTTCTGGTACTCTAAGTGATTACGTTCAGTGTTCGTGATACTATATGATTATTAATGTGTTCAATTGATTTGGATTTCATGATTCTCATACATGTATCTTTGCACATATTGTGTACATGAATACCTCAATGTAAGGTACAATTACCAAAGCAAGAGTTTCATTTAGCAAACAATAGTCTAACAGTGTTTCCTAGGTCAAAGCAATAAATGCTATGTCAATTGTGGTAAAAGTATTTTCAGCGATGGAAAATTTGGACACATAATTACGGTCATTATCAAACAAGCACTGAGCTAACATTTCTTTATGTATTCAGAAACGTGGAAATAAACTATGCAAGTAAAAGCAGCTGGTTTAGTTCAGCTGAGTATCTTTTTAAAGATACTTTTTGTTTAAAATATTATGACAATAAGATGTGATTTTGATATAATTAATCCCATTTGCTCATTGATTTAAGTATATAACAATAATGATAGCATGTTTCTGCTTTATTTATCAAATGTAAGAATCCCAGAATTAGACCTGAAATATATATATTAAATTAAATATTAACTCTGATTTACTTGATATAATGCTGTTGTATCACTCATTCAAAGATTTCATTAAAAAATTTCTTGGTTCATTAATTACAGTTGAATTCATATAAAGTTAAATATAATTCTTGATACATCATATAGGCTGTAAGATAAGCTCATAACAAAAATAGGGAGTGCAATAAGTTAGTATGTAAAATTACAAAGGTCAAAAGAGACTTATGGTACTTTGCCTTGTGATCTATCAATCTGTAAGTTTCAAGTAAATACCTGCTATTCCTTTTTGAGTTATGCCCATTACAAATCTTAAATTAGATACCTAATGCAGACCCTCCTTCCTGAAAAGTATTCATTTTCAGAGAGGATTTTCAATGGGCTGTGGGTTCATACCCACTGGGGAAAAACTTTTTCTCCATTTCATACTTTTTTCTTCTTTGTCTTTGCCAGATCAGATTATGGTTTTCTGTTTTATTTTATTTATTTAAAAAGTGCAAAAATGCTATGCCACCGACACAACACAATAGTAGGTACAGACGTATTTTTTTTCCTTAAGCAATTGTACTTTTCCATAATGTAGCAGTGTGGGCAAGGTCATATTTCAGCATTTCAAATGAAAGACAATGTGCAGATGTGTCTGATGTTCAGATACAAAGACCATAGTATAATAATTGATTCAAAATAGAAATATTCTTACTTGATACAAATTTTGGTATTTACTACATAGCTGTCTTAAACTTTGAAATACAGATAGTTATTTTTCTTAAATAATATCTATTCAATTAAGCATTACCCATTTCTGAAAACATGAAAAACATTAAAAATTTAAAATCATCATAACATACATAGTGTGAATCATAATGTCCTTATAATGTGCTCAAATCATTTCATAAATATCCCTGCAAAGCAAACATCTCTCTTGCTAGAGGTCATGACCTTTACACTAACTCCAAGCTTTCATTCTTTTAAAAAAAAACAAAAAAAAAACACACAAACAGGTGAATCGCTACAGGTCATGACCTTTAGACTAACTCCAAGCTTTTTGAAAAACACACATATAGGTGAATTGCTAGAGGTCATGACCTTTAAACTAACTCCAAGCATTCATTCTTTAAAAAAAAACAAAAAAACCACACACAGGTGAATCGCTGGAGGTCATGACCTTTATACTAACTCCAAGCTTATTTTAGAAAAACATATACACAGGACTGGTGAATCGCTATATGCCACTGTATCACCATAATGTCAATGGACTTTGAGAATATTTGAGGTGTTACAAAAACTTAAACATAAATTTTAAGTCTAAAAAGGGGCATAATTCTTTCTTGATACAGTTACCTCCTCCTGTCTACAGGTTGGGGTCATGATGGTGAACAAGTGTGCAAAGTTTCAAAGCCATACGTCCATGGACTTTGAAAATATTTGAGGTGTTACAAAATCTTTAACATAAGTGGTTACGCTGACACCAATGCTGACGCTTGGGTGACTAAGATAGCTCTAGTTATTCTTATTGAATAGTCGAGCTTAAAAAGAAAAAAACATAACAAAACAACACCACTATCATATTATCATAGACAAACAGGACAACATGCAGTTATGGAAGTACATGGGTTGTTTGGAAAAATTTGAGACACACATTTCAACTTTTAAATGATTTCATAAATTTCTGTGAAAAGCAAACATCTCTATCGATGGAGATTATGATCTTAAGATAAACTCCCAACTATTGAGTTTTTTTTTTTAGAAAAATTGCATTATATGTACACATGTACAAAAGACATTCCAATATGAGTTGTTTCCCTTTCATTATTTAACTCATGAGCTGCACTATTTAAAGCAAGGGGAATAATTTTAAGAGAAGCAATAACCTCCTGGGACAGCGTCAATTTGGACCTGAAAGCTATAATTTGAATGATCTTAATAGAGATTCACTAGACAATGTTTCATGCTAAATATCTGAGCTCTCGCACTTGTAGTTTTGAAGAAAAAATATTTTTAAAAATTGTACTATATTATACATATTAGGAAAACATATTACCCCTGGTGTGGGGCCAATTTTGACCCCAGGGCTATAATTTGAACAATGTAGGTAGAGGTCCACAATGCAATGCCGTAATGCAAAATATCTATGCTCTTGGCTGATAAGTTCTAGAGGATAAAAATTTTTAAAATTCATTCTTATATTCTTTTTCAGTTGCCATGGCAACCAGATTTCTAAATGGTATCAAATTCATTAGACAACTGAAAGATCTTGGCAAGATTGGTTGAAATCGGACTTGGTTTTTGACAAGATTTTTAAGTTCACCATATAATCTATGTAACACACACACACATGCACAAACACACACACACACATTCACTTACACACAGGCGAATCACAGATTGCAGTGGCATAAAAACACCTGACACAATGTTTTACATCCCACTGCAGTAAAAACACAGGAAATAATGTAGCATATGTCACAAAACATGGCTTAATTTGTAGTTAAAGTGGGTAGAAGTGTTAAGGAATTAAAGATACTGTGCTCTAACATACTCTTCCTTTTGTTACTATAGACATAAACATTAGGTTTTTAAAATAAATATAAAATTGATGTTTATCATAATTGGCAATACATATTTTTCTAACATATGATAAACAAAAGGGCCATCATGGCTATGGATGGCTTACTAGAGATTGCTAGAAAAGGTCACAATTTTATTTTTCAATGTAATGAAGTCAAATTTACATTGGGTTTGTTATTTTTACCAAAGCTGCATTATTTTTAAAAGATTTAAAGATGTCTGTTCAAAAATGCTTCATGACAGATATCTAAGCTTTGGGCATTGTAATTTCACACAATAACACTTAGTTAAATATTTTTTACAATGTAAATCTTTAAAAACTAAGTGAATCCCTGGCAAGAACCATTTCTGGCCCATTACAGGCAAGATTTATATAATTTTTGTAGAGGACCCACTTAAGTTATTCTACATGTAAAATTCTAAGCTCTTGGCACTGTACTTTCAGAACAATATTTTAAAAACATTTTTACTACACACAAGTCCACTTGGCAGTGCTATGTGCCAAATATCTAAAATCTGGGCATAACAGTTTCATGAAAGGTTTAAATGTATGCCTATAAAAGCTCAGTGACCCCAAAAGAGGGGCCAATTTTGACCCCTGAGGGATGATCTATATAATTTTTGTAGAGGACCACAAGGTCATGCCAAATATCTAAGCTCTAGGCACTGTAGTTTCTGAGAAGAGGGTTTTTAAAGATCTCATTTTCAAAGTCTATATATAGCTCCAGTGACCTACTTATCTATCAGACAGGAACCATTTATATCAATTTTGTAAAAACCATAAGCTGGTTTAGGAGATGATTGTTTAAAAAATTGTGGATAACAATGAACAACTGACACACTGTCATGACAAAAGCTCCCTTGACCACTCTGTACTTAGGGAAGCTAAAGATCCCAAGACTCTACCCTATACAGACACAATGACACAACAATAAAAAGTGTTGTCTTAAAAGGTACGGAACAACCCTTGTTATATTTACAATAAAGTAAAGGGAGACAAAAAAGCATATCTTACCATCATTGTCTGTTACTGTCACTACATAAAGGAGAAAGATGTGGATCAGATATGAAAGGATAAAAACAAGACATTGACACAAGGCAGGTGTTAAGAATTATAAATAGGTCCTAATAAAGATACACTATGATGGTAGCCATAACAATTCAGTAAAATTAGTAGTTGAAATTGTATTTTTGTCAATGTTCAATTTTTTCAAATACATTTAATCAACATAATTACCACCAACTTATCATTAAAATCTATCTTGATAAATCAGTATACCATTCTCATAATGTGTTATATGATTCAAAACATAACTTCAACCACTAAGTAGTTAATTAGTTGCCCCTCAACTAAAATAATGCTGACTTTACAAACACTAAAATAGTCTATAAAGTGAATAGTTATGCCAAATGCATTAATAAATTATTATGTGAAGATCTTTTAAATGTTAACATTACTGAAGTTAAACAAGCCTTATTATGGAAAAATTGAGTGGCTGCAAGCATAAAATGAAAAAAAAAACTTAAATTAACTGAATTTTCTCAATGCTGATTGGTTGCTGTCAATCATCAGGACAAATTAACAATAACACTTTTACACACCTGTATGCAAGGTAAAAATATTGACATCATCAATTTTTGTTAAGTTTTTGTGTGAACACATCAACAAAATAAAGCTCTTCTCATAACCTAGCTGATAATCAGTATTATAGGATTTTTACAAGAGGACCATGATGGCCCTATCCTGTAGCCTGAGGATATGGTCTAAATGGACAAGATTTAATTATCTGACAAACTTGGAATAGGTCCACTAGACAATGCTTAAAATTCAATACCTTAGCACTAGATATTATGATTTCAAAGGTGATGATTTTTAAAGCTTTCAAAGGTGATGATTTTTAAAGCTTTTACTTAAGCTTTTTACGTATACATCTATAAGGAAAACCCATAACACACAGGAAATGGCCAATTTTGACCCTAGGGCTTTTATTTGAGCAAAAAGTAGTGGTCTATTATACAGTGTTTCATGCCAAATATCTAAGCTCTAACCTTTATGGCTTCAGAGATGATTTTTAAAGAATTACAATAAACATATACTGAAATCCTATGGCACCATTTGGTGGGGCTAATTTTTACCATTTCAACAAGCTTGGTAGAGGTCCATTAAATGATGTTTAGCAGGCCCGTCATCACGTTTTTATGTTTGGTGCGGCCAATTTGGTAGGTTTTAGCCAAAATCTAGGGGGGTACCGCGGGAAAATTTTTATTCTAGGATGCTCTCAGGGGCGTTTTCCCGTATATTTGGCACAGTTTACAGCCTGTCGCTAGTACATGTTATAGTTATATGTCAACGATTTTTTACAGATTTAAGTGCGACGTAAGTTTTAAAGGGTGAAATGTAAGGTTTGCATAATGGATGGGATGGGCAGCTGTACATAAAAAATTGAATACATGTAATTGATATTTGGCAAATAAAATTATACAATAACTGATGTTGTTATAATTTTTTAGATGCAATTTTATCTGATAATTATAAATAAACAAATACAAGAAGTATAACAGTATGTGGATTATTGTTTAACATCAACACACAATGGTATAAGCTTAAATAACAAGCGATGCCATGATGGAGATGGAAGAATAGTACATTACGAGCCAACAATAACCGCTTTTTGTTTAGCAGTAACTTTTATTTTGTTCACAATAATCTTACAAAACACAGAGTTTCATTTTATGTAAATTTTCCAAAAACTCATTGCTGTCGTTCTCTGCTGGTAATGAACCCATCGGCAATTACACGTAAGTTGAGTGAATCTGTCCTGTACTTATGAATATGTAACACCATTACTTATATTTTTGTGAACGTTTACACGATTGTTAGGAACCGAAACGATATCGTATAAACAGTGGTACTTCTATGTACTATACTACAAAATGTACCCGAGTCGCCAGATTTGATGATGACTTATTTTCTATTTTTAATACATAAACAAATAAATAATGTTCAGAGCTTATCACGATTATGTCGGCACACATTTTCTGCAATGTATCCCCCATTTCTCTCTTTTGAAAGAATAAAGGAAAATCAACTTTATAAAAAAATATGTCATGAGCGATTATTGCACGTGTCAAATTGCTAATCAGCGATGCGTGTTTTTTTAATTTTATTTATTTATTTATTTTTTTTTTTAACTCATTTTTGGCCAAAATATTGGTCCGGCCAAGGCCGGACCGGCCGGACCATCGACGACAAGTTCTAATACAAGTGTATGTAAAAATAAGTGATCCCAAGGGGCATTACATGTATATAACTTCTGAATGGGTCCACTAGGAAATGCTAATGCCACATTACTTACACAGAAGCAAACATATAATAAACATTTTTCCTTCATAAGTTATATTAAGTGACCCAAAGGGTGGGACCAATTTTGACCCCTAGGAGCAAGGTGATGCTACATGCCAAATATCTAAGCAGTCGGCATTGTAGTTTCGGAGAAGAACTTTTGAAAGACATTTTTACTTTACTTACAAGTATATTTAAATGTAAGTGACACCCAGGGCCCTTTTTTGACCAAAGGGGCATGACATATATCACTTTAGTGGGTCTAAACACTGCAGTTTCACAAAATAAGACTGAAATGTATTTTCCTAGCTCTTGTGACCTATCTAAGCATCAGACTGGAATCATTTACATATTTTTTGTAAAGGGATACCTAAGCATCATGCCTGTGAAGTTTTGTCAAAATCATACAATTTAAAGAAATTGTGGATAATGACAAGAGCGTAAAGACAGACAGAATACTATCAGAATACTATCATAAAAGCTCACTTTCTTAAGCATGATTACCATTTTGACTAACCATAATCTAGCCAAAATTTGTGATTCCAAATCAGTCCAAGTTTGGCCAAAAATAATTAACATTAGAAAATGAGATAAGTTTATATGAGAGTAGAATGTTTACTAAATTTAGAAGATTGCTGAGATCGTGTGAGGTAGTTAAACACTTACCAAGTTTAGATGTTTGCTCAGATCGAGTAAGGTAGTTAAACACTTACCAAGTTTAGATGTTAGCTGAGATTGTGTGAGGTAGTTAAACACTTACAAAGTTTAGTTGTTTGCTGAGATCGTGTGAGGTAGTTAAACACTTACCAAGTTTAGTTGTTTGCTGAGATCGTGTGAGGTAGTTAAACACTTACCAAGTTTAGATGTTTGCTGAGATCGTGTGAGGTAGTTAAACACTTACCAAGTTTAGATGTTTGCTGAGATCGTGTGAGGTAGTTAAACACTTACCAAGTTTAGATGTTTGCTGAGATCGTGTGAGGTAGTTAAACACTTACCAAGTTTAGATGTTTGTCGAGATCGTGTGAGGTAGTAAAACACTTACCAAGTTTAGATGTTTGTCGAGATCGTGTGAGGTAGTAAAACACTTACCAATTTAGATGTTTGTCGAGATCGAGTAAGGTAGTAAAACACTTACCAAGTTTAGATGTTTGCTGAGATCGTGTAAGGTAGTTAAACACTTACCAAGTTTACATGTTTGCTGAGATCGAGTAAGGTAGTTAAACACTTACCAAGTTTAGATGTTTGCTGAGATCGTGTGAGGTAGTTAAACACTTACCAAGTTTAGATGTTTGCTGAGATCGTGTGAGGTAGTTAAACACTTACCAAGTTTAGATGTTTGCTGACATCGTGTGAGATAGTTAAACACTTACCAAGTTTAGATGTTTGAGATCGAATGAGGTAGTTAAACACTTACCAAGTTTAGATGTTAGCTGAGATCGTGTGAGGTAGTTAAACACTTAACAAGTTTAGATGTTTGCTGACATTGTGTGAGGTAGTTAAACACTTATCAAGTTTAGATGTTTGCTGAGATCGTGTGAGGTAGTTAAACACTTTCCAAGTTTAGATGTTTGCTGAGATCGTGTGAGGTAGTTAAACACTTACCAAGTTTAGATGTTTGCTGACATCGTGTGAGGTAGTTAAACACTTACCAAGTTTAGATGTTTGAGATCGAATGAGGTAGTTAAACACTTACCAAGTTTAGATGTTAGCTGAGATCGTGTGAGGTAGTTAAACACTTACCAAGTTTAGATGTTTGCTGACATCGTGTGAGGTAGTTAAACACTTATCAAGTTTAGATGTTTGCTGCGATCGTGTGAGGTAGTTAAACACTTTCCAAGTTTAGATGTTTGCTGAGATAGTGTGAGGTAGATAAACACTTACCAAGTTTAGATGTTTGTCGAGATCGTGTGAGGTAGTAAAACACTTACCAATTTAGATGTTTGTCGAGATCGAGTAAGGTAGTAAAACACTTACCAATTTAGATGTTTGTCGAGATCGAGTAAGGTAGTAAAACACTTACCAATTTAGATGTTTGTCGAGATCGAGTATGGTAGTAAAACACTTACCAAGTTTAGATGTTTGCTGAGATCATGTAAGGTAGTTAAACACTTACCAAGTTTACATGTTTGCTGAGATCGAGTAAGGTAGTTAAACACTTACCAAGTTTAGATGTTTGCTGAGATCGTGTGAGGTAGTTAAACACTTACCAAGTTTAGATGTTTGAGATCGAATGAGGTAGTTAAACACTTACCAAGTTTAGATGTTAGCTGAGATCGTGTGAGGTAGTTAAACACTTACCAAGTTTAGATGTTTTAGATCGTGTGAGGTAGTTAAACACTTACCAAGTTTAGATGTTTGCTGAGATCGTTAGAGGTAGTTAAACACTTACCAAGTTTAGATGTTTACTGACATCGTGTGAGGTAGTTAAACACTTACCAAGTTTAGATGATTGCTGAGATCGTGTGAGGTAGTTAAACACTTACCAAGTTTAGATGTTTGCTGAGATTGTGTGAGGTAGTTAAACACTTACCAAGTTTACATGTTTGCTGAGATCGTGTGAGGTAGTTAAACACTTACCAAGTTTAGATGTTTGTCGAGATCGTGTAATGTAGTAAAACACTTACCAAGTTTAGATGTTTGAGATCGAGTAAGGTAGTTAAACACTTACCAAGTTTAGATGTTTGCCGAGATTGAGTGAGGTAGTTAAACACTTACCAAGTTTAGATGATTGCTGAGATCGTGTGAGGTAGTTAAACACTTACCAAGTTTAGATGTTTGCTGAGATCGTGTGAGGTAGTTAAACACTTACCAAGTTTAGATGTTTGCTGAGATCGTGTGAGGTAGTTAAACACTTACCAAGTTTAGATGTTTGTTGAAATCGTGTGAGGTAGTAAAACACTTACCAATTTAGATGTTTGTCGAGATTGAGTAAGGTAGTAAAACACTTACCAAGTTTAGATGTTTGCTGAGATCGTGTGAGGTAGTTAAACACTTACGAAGTTTAGATGTTAGCTGAGATCGTGTAAGGTAGTTAAACACTTACCAATTTAGATGTTTGCTGAGATTGTGTGAGGTAGTTAAACACTTACCAAGTTTAGATGTTTGCTGAGATCGTGTGAGGTAGTTAAACACTTACCAAGTTTAGATGTTTGCTGAGATCGTGTGAGGTAGTTAAACACTTACCAAGTTTAGATGTTTGCTGAGATCGTGTGAGGTAGTTAAACACTTACCAAGTTTAGATGTTTGTTGAGATCGTGTGAGGTAGTTGCACAATTGTGATACATGAGAGTCCAGCACATCTTGATGGGCTTGTGCCTCCTACACAAAATGTTCAAATATTATACATAACACATTTTCATGTATTCACTTCACATGCTTTATGAAATATTACATTATATCAATGAAATAAGTTGTATATCACACAAAAGTTACTTATTAGCCTTTATTATGCTCAATTTATAAAATGACCTTCCATATTTATAGCTACTTAGCTCAAGAAAATTTTTATTAGACCTATGTTAGAAAAGTATATGATATCATATAAATGTTCCAACTCAATGTCACGTTTTGCATGTTTTATATATATTTTTTGTTGGGTTTTACATTCAAGCTGCAGCACAGTAGAAGTCATATGGTGACTTTCCAGCTTTACTGTTGGAAGAAAGTCCTATATTATTTCAGGCACAATTGTGGCACCTGAGAAGAACTATCAATGTTCTATAAGCTACCTGGATAGCTTCTTCACTTGCCCCTCACTGCTGGCAGGATTTAAACCCACAGCAGTGAGAGGAAACTGGTTTCAGGTCAACAACCTTAAGCATGTCATATCATGATTATATGTGTATTCTCTCTCAGGAGGGTAAGCAGTTTGAATAGGAACCTATAACAAAAATTGACTAGACCTTAGTTACGTCAATTGTAAAAGTGCTACTAAAGGATAGACAGTACAGAGTCTATGTTTGATGTCTGCACTGGGTCCATTTATTAAGTTCTGACCATGAGACGTTCGTTTTAAACACTTTTTTAATTTATTTAACTAGATATAAGTGTTATAAATTTATATCATTATTAATATACATGTAATAATGATAAACAGTAATTATTAGTAGGGTAAAGGTTAACCTTTTACCCCATGACCTTATTGCGAAAAATGGCCATTTTCAATGAAAAGCCTCCTGTTACAAGTTCCTACTGCTATAAAACTATGAACAAGGAACATCGCAATGCGATGCAACCAGGTTTTCAGCAAAATATTTCACAGAAGCTTTGTCATGAAGGGGCATTTGTTTTTAATTGAACTTTTAGGAGGAATTATGGCTTTTTTAATATTCCTCAAACAAAAATGATTGAGAAATTTTATGTTGTCTATTCGCCTTTTTTCCCCAAATATTTTAGAAAGGTAAACAGTACTTTATTTTTGCTTTATTTTTGCATTTTTGCGTCTCTTGTCATTTTCTTTCGTCAACAATATTGGCGTGTGGTGTTTTGTGCGATATCAAGAAAAGTATGTTCACAATTTTAAAAAAATACTTGAATGATGTCTTGGAAGAAACATGGGAATTTAGTGAGCGCCAGGGCACTTGATGACAAAGCTTCTGTGAAAGTTTGGTCAAAATCCATTGAGAAATGTAGGAGAAGTTGCGCACTGTAAAAATTGTTCACTATATATTCTGTATAAGGAAAAAATATACAAAGGGCCATAATTCGGTCAAATATTATCCAATCACAAAACCCCGACAATATGTGCCAGGCACTTGATAACAAAGCTTCTAAGAAAGTTTGGTCAAAATCCGTTGAGAAATGTAGGAGGAGTTGAGCACAGAAGAAATTGTTCTCTATATATTCTGTATAAGGAAAAAATATACAAAGGGCCATAATTCAGTCAAATATTATCCAATCACAAAACCCTGACAATATGTGCCAGGCACTTGATAACAAAGCTTCTAAGAAAGTTTGGTCAAAATCCATTGAGAAATGTAGGAGGAGTTGCGCACAGAAGAAATTGTTCACTATATATTCTATATAAGGAAAAAAAACAAAGGGCCATAATTAGGTCAAATATATACCAATTGCAAAACCCTGGCAATATGTGACAGGGCACTTGATGACAAAGCTTCTGAGAAAGTTAGGTCAAAATCCGTTGAGAAATGTAGGAGGAGTTGCGCACAGAAGAAATTGTTCACTATATATTTTATATAAGGAAAAAAAACAAAGGGCCATAATTAGGTCAAATATTATCTAATCGCAAAACCCCGACAATATGCGCCAGGGCACTTGATGACAAAGCTTCTGTGAAAGTTTGGTCAAAATCCGTTGAGAAATGTAGGAGTTGCGCACAGAAGAAATTGTTTACGCCCGCCCGTCCGCCCATCCGCCCGCCCGCCGACATACCTCAATCTAATAACCAGTTTTTTCCTTCGGAAAACCTGGTTAAAAATGCTTCAATACTGAAACTTAACATATGTTAACTGAACCATAACCTCTGTAACAACATGCTCAATCTTAAATTTCCTGTTACCATGGCAAAAGGGGGATGTCTCAAATTTGCGAAAAATCACTATTTTGCATTGTTTTTTTTTCCATCAAAACTGATTTCAAAGTGCTGCAAGTTCTCAATGCAATGAGATAGAGTAAAAGGCTTTTCAGTGTTGGTTACATGTCACCTTAAAATCAACCTGAGGCCATTTTTAGCCTGTCACATGTCCAAAATTTTCTTGGCGATGAGGGGGACTACTGCACCCCCCAAACAGAAGGGGGCACATCCCCCTTCTGTCAACTCCCTGATGTATCATTTGGATGGGGGGCCCAGCCAAAAAGTGGTCACTTTCTTTAACAACATTTCTCAAACGAAAAACAGTCTTTGGGGCCTAAATAGGGCATTTTTTCACTGTGTGAGGCCTAAAAAAAGGAGGACAAAAAGCCGTCATTAAACACGTCTATATGAGGGAAAAGGTTAATATTGGAATGTATTCTTGTAATTTCACCAACCTGGCGGCAAACATCTTACATTGTTAAATAAAATGTTCGAAACATTCATCTTCTAAGCAATCTTTGACACTACATGTAATTTAAGTATCATTAATACCAAACACCCTGAATCAGCAAATTGCTGTTCCATGCATTTATTTGATTATTAAAACTGTTTGAATGAAACCAACTACTGGCCTCAAACAAAAACATGCATATTTGTACCCAAAATGTTTCAAAAGTATTAACTTCTGTATGAAGGGAAGAAATAAGTTTTAATGAAAAAATCAATCTTGTATTGTAGGGTTACAACTGCTGACAGGATGGCAAGAGGACAAGGACCAGTATTCCTTCTTCAAACTTTGTACATGATCTTTATTACACACGATATTGCATTATATTTTGTTGTTTTCATTATAAACGTCTATGTATTCTAAATATCATAATGTTCTTTTTGGTCTAGAAAGTGAAATATTAGTTTTATACGAAGTAAGAAAAGCTCTATGATGCATGGAAAAATGTCAGTATGGCTAGAAGCCATTGCATGTACATGTATACAAGGAAGCCAATGAACCAGTAACCAAGGAGAGTCACATATAAATACTTTGCAACACAACAAAGCATAGGTAAAACCTGGATAAAACTAGGTACCTCTAAAGTGACATTTTGCCCATCTAAAGGTAATAGTGAATGAGCTTGTGATAGTCAAAATAAGTTTTTATTTTGCCATAATTCCTTACAATTTCATGAACGATAAATAACTCACATGGCCCAAAGCAATTTCTGTAAATATACATCAGAATTTACCTGTAACCATCAATTTATAAAAAGAGTGTGGCAGTCTGTTTTCTGACAATAAAAAATGAGCATAATGTCACTTTAATTACCAAATTACAAAAGTTATGCTGTGCAATAATTCAATATCGTATCAGAATTTTAACCCCACACAGAGGATGGTTAGATGAAGTGAACTCGTATAGCTGCTATGTTAATTACAATTATAATACCTGAAGGGCAGTCTGCATAGTGACAACAGATAGCTGGTCAAATGACTCTGTCTTCAACATTTCACCTTTATGTATATAGTGGGTATTGTAGTTTATATGTTCTTTTAATGAATTGATCCACATCTGAAAATAAAATCATATATAGTGTTAGAAATTTTTAAACCGATACCCTAATTCCTTAATTCTTTTAAAACTACTGCCTTATTCCTTTTAACCTATAGTCTAATTATTTTTAAACTACTGCCTACTTATTTTTAACCTATTGCCTAATTATTTTTAACCTATTGCCTAATCATTTTTAACCAATTCTCTAATTATTTTTAACCTTTTAACTTAATTATTTTAAAATATAAACTAATTTTTATAACCTACAAACTATTACCAACCTATAAATTACTTCTAATGACCTATAAACATATTCTTTTAAAGATGAATTGGTCCATATTTAATACCATAAATAATTATGATGATAATGTACAGTATCATATATGACGACAAACAACAATAGATTATGGTTGTTGTTAGTACAGGATAGATACATTATCCATAATCTACATATATAGAGGATATTGAATGAGTATAAATTGAATACTAAATTTATTGAACAAGTTCAATAAAATCATATCATGCGAGCCTTTGTCAAGCATGAAATTGTCTTATTCAACGAGTTCAATAAATTTAGAATTGAATCTACACAAATTTAATATTCTTTTTATCACATATATAAATAAGAACGGTTAAAGAGTCATTTTTCATTGACACGCCTACAGTGTTAGGCTCACATTTGCGCGCTTTAATGCTATGTTTATACATAACGCAAATGACGTCAGGTCAAAGTGTTATTACACTACGGTAAAATTGTTTTAATTAAATTGCTGCATTACACTCCTGCACCGCGGTTTATGTTATAAAGTTAGATAATTAAATGTTCTGAAATACATCATGCAAAGGCTTAAACTAAATCACTCAGAACTCTATCAACATTTTTTTTTCAAGAAATATTTTACAAGAATATCAAAATAATACATTTCTGTTGTTTTTAGCAACTTTTGAAATACTTATGGAATATGCCCATTGTAAACAAATTCACTTTGGCTTAAAATCTAAATAAATAGATTGTGCCAAAATGTTTTTTTACTTATCGCCAATGTTTCATCTGCTGCAGATGTCTCTTGCTGCGATATAAACACTGCCACAGGCTTTTGTTTACTACTGAATATTCATGCATGACCTCTAATTATCACATAGCTCCTCCCTGGCAAATCAAACTTGACAGCAAGATTTTTTCCCACCGAAATACATTTAACATAGTGTTTTTTTCTAATTAATTTTGGTCAATCTTTATCAAGTATAACGTAGAGTTTATTCCATACATTCCTTAACATAAATAAATATATTTATGTTAAGGAATGTATGGAATGAACTCTACGTTATCTTTTGTTCTGTTTACAGTATGATGGCCCCCTATCTATTTTCAGCAATTAGGAAGGGAAACCTAAAGTCCCCTCCAGTTAAATCAGAAGGGGACTAAAAACCACCACAAGCTTTCATATATTCAACTGCAAAATCATTGATAGAGGCTTTGTTTTGGTGAAGTTTATTTAAAGGTGAAAGATATAATTTAATTACTCAATAAGAAAGTGTTGTTGATTTGTCCAAATATACATCATAAATAAAAACAAGAGGGCCGTCATGGCCCTAATATCCCTCACCTGATTATTAAAGCTTTTAATTAATATAAATAGCAATAAATGAAAGGCAGATAAAATGCCATGATCTGATATCATAACTTTCATATCTGCACCTGAAATAGTGCAAATGTAAATAAGGTTTTTCCATATCTGAGCTGTGTGACCTCGTTTCTGACCCAATATGACTTATATTTTAAATTGAGCAAGCAGTCATCTTAACAACCTTTCAGGCTAGGATATTTTTTTATAATTTCTAGGATATTAAATTGTCTAAAAATGTAACCTCTAGAGTGTAATCAAGGTTTTTTTCATATTCTGTCTATGTGACCTAGTTTTTACACCCAGGTGACCCTTATGCGATCTTTACCTAGAAATCATCTGAATAACCCTTCAGACCAATTCCAAGGATATTTGTACTAAAACAGTGGTCCCTATATTTTTTAGAAGGTTTTCCATATTTGGACTGTGTGAGCAAGTTTTTGACCCCAGGTGACCCATGTTCGAAACAAATGAGCTAAAAATCCATTGAAACAATCTTTCTGACCAATTTCCAAGATATTTGGACAAAGTTTTTTTATTTTTGGCTTATCTAGTTTTTCACTGGAGAAAACTAATGCCCAAACTTGTCCAAGCAATTATTGGAAGTTTGGTGACAATTGAGGCAGCGAACGAGTGCTAACGAACAGAATATGGATGGATGATGGAGGACAGACATTCAATGATCCTATGTTATAGTAAACACATTTTTTTCACTTCCGTCAGTATGATTATAAGAATCTTACACTGGCTGCCGGTACAGACCAGAATATCTTGCTCAAGGGTAATTGTCTACAGTGGTAACAAGGCTCTGCTGAGTTTCCGCTAAACAGTTACCTGAGAGCTAGATATTCCTGTCTGTACGTTGTTTGATTCTTTTTCTTGCATATTACATATCAATTATTTTCAGAACAGTAATTACGAAAATATTCTCATTAAGCACTATTTTTCTTATTGTAGCGTATAAACTTACAACTTCAATCATAACAGAGAGATGACATCATCTTAAGAACGTAATTCATTCATAAAAGGCGCGTGGCAATAACATCATTTAAAGCACGTAACTTGTCTTACATGGGGGATGTAAGACAGATTTTTCTAACACCGGTGTAAACGGTAGATAATCCTGTCTGATATGCAAGAAAATGTGGTCCAATCATATCTTTGAATAAATTACAAAGCTCTACAGAAACTTTATATACATTTTTATATTTGACCAAGCTGGTCAAGGGCATTGGAATGTAAAGCTGAAATACTTCCCATGATGGTTTTGTCTTAAGCATTGTTTATTTCAAATATGAATCAAATTGTCAAAGTCATATACAGCTAATGATCAAGTTCAGGTTAACATTTGTGGAGGTATTTTTTTGTCGTATATACATCAAGTTGAGTAAGACCTACTTACAAGGCCAGTCAAAAGGATTGTCATGTTTAAGTACATGCTGATGGGATCCTAAATAAGTGGACTAGGCAGGTCATATATTCATGTAAAAAAAATATCCAAGACCTGGACAGGTATGGTAGAAAACTTACCTGTCTTGTTACTATTTCTCCTGTGGTTGGATCCCGGCCCACTTGCACTTCCTTAGCTCCAGGATCAACACCCAATTTGTGGTTTGTTCCATCAGAAAATCTTATCATAAAATCATAACTGTTTTCCTCTGACACCTGGAATCATTTCATCATGAACAAATTATAGAGAGCAACTTTAAACACAATCATGTTCATTACCTTTATAACCATCTAAATTCATTAATCAAATAATTTCTTTTTCCATTTGCTATGTTGTTAATGAAAAGTATCACTGTTAAAAATGATTTGTTAGTTTACAGTCAAGTATAGATAACTACTTCATAGTCTTTCTTTTTAATATAAAATAAAATGTGTGAGAACATACACAGTAGATATGTTAAATTTTTAAGCAGTTTTCTAAAGAAAAAATCAATTTTAAATGATCTGCAATAGGGAATACAGCCTGTCATACATAGTGTACAAATTCTTTACCACTTTTCTACATCATCATCATCATATTCATCATCATCAACAACAACATCATCACCATCATCCTCATCAACAACACCAACACCATCACCACAATCATTCATCATTACATTACCAGCACCACTTATCATCATAATCATCACTTATCATTATTAACATCATCATCATCATCACCACCACCATCATCAGCATCATCATCATCATCACCACTTACCATTACCACCACCAAATCAATAACTATTACCATTATCACCTACCATTAAATGAGCATTATCAAGGTATTTCATTCCCCGCCTTTTACTGCCTGTTGAAGCATCCCCTCTGAAAATTTAAATTCACTGGCATGTGAGTTAAATGCCACAAGTGCACAGCAGATAGGTAAGTTATAATGAGCCATTTTTGTGTAAACTTGACATGAGATCTTTGTTGAATTATTTTATAAATGCTGCTTCTCTGAGTTGCTACAGTCCTTAATACAATACTTCCAAACATTTGATCCATAGATGTGTAACAATAACAGTAATATAAATCTATTAATTATATACATGTATGTTAAATATTGTAAATTTGATGTTGAAAGTAACATTATTAATGTGAATCTGAACTTCAAAATGGTCAATACATAATAACACATCTAAAACCAATTTCCTTTTCCAAATTCTATGTGTCAATATATAATTATATGAAATTATTTTCTACCTGTTATGAAAATAAGACAGTACCCCTCTCTCTAATACAACCCACAATGGTTTACTTCTCACAAACTTCTTCTATGAACAGAAACAAAAATAACAAAAATAAAAATCTCAAACATTGTACAGATTAGATTTTGATACAAATTGTTCAGTGGCAGTGAAAAATATTCAACTTGCCAAAAAAGGCATATAAAACATAAGTTAAATTGGAAAAAAACAGGTATTGGTAAGTGTTCATATTATCAAGCCATTCAAACATGTATAAATATTTTTAACTTGGACTGAAGGCTTTGGATGCGCCGGAAACTGCACATTACAATGTCTATAATGGCTGTAAGAGCAAAAGTATAAAAATCTATTTTTAGCACCAGTGACCTGGACCCCAGTAATCTTCAACTCTAGCCAAACTTAAAGGTACTAAGATTAAAGGGATTAACAAATTGATGAAAATAAATGTTTCTTCTTAATTATCTGCCTCTGAAAGTGAGTCATGCCAAGAATTCTCACCATTTGTATAAATTTTCCCTCTTTGCCTTTGTAAAAAGGTTCCTAAAAATACTTTTTATACCTTTAAACCTAATATAGTAACTGAGACTGACAAACCAGATCAATCATTATAATGCCAATGCTATAAAACTTTAAGCTCAATACCTTTATAAGAAGTCCCTCATATCTAGCCGGTATTTTTATGACATCTTTCTTTGGTTTGACATGAAGTAACTGTTTCATTTGTTCTGTTTTGGCTACCTCAGCTGGTATAAATCCTGCATATAATTAATAATTTTTTTATTTTTATTTCTTGTGACTCAATAAAATTCATTTTTAACAAAAGCCTGATCAAATCATTCTTGCTAACAAGAAGGACAGAATGATGATTGTTCACCTTTGATACATTACAAGACCAGGTCCCAATTCTTCAATGAAAAGATTAGTAATTACATCACATAAGGTTGTCATTTTTTACCCAAGAAGCATAATAATTATAACCTTTGTAGATGTCCACTGGGAAATCCTATATGCCAAAGATCAAAGCTCTGGGAATTGTAATTTCAAACAAGAAGACTTAAACATGTTTTACTTTGAAAGTCTTTCTTAACTAAGGCCTTACCTTTTTTGACCCCAGGGGCATGATTAATGTCACTTTTATGAAAGATCACAAAGCAATGATATAGTGAACAAGAGCTGTCGGTAGGACAGCAACGCTCGACTATTCTTAGTGCTTGATAGTAAAAAAGCCTTGATAATGTAAAATTTTCTAAGTTAACAAAAGAGCAAAATTTGTCTTTAAATCCATGTTACAGTTATAGGCCTTGAAGAGAGTCCTATTATGCTCCCAAAAAAGTGTATAAAATTTCAACTTGTTTCAAAGCCAGATGTCAATAGAATATGAAAATATCTGAGGTGGTATGCAAAATTAAATGTAAATTCTAATGTAAATTGTAATGCTTCATAGAGTTACCTCCTCCTGTCTACAGGTTGGGTCATGATGGTGAACAAGTGTGCAAAGTTTCAAAGCCATATGTCAATGGACTTTGAAAATATTTGAAGTATTACAAAAACTTTAACGTAAATTCTAAGTCGAAAAAGGGGCATAATTCTGTCAAAATGCTTGATACAGTTATCACCTCCTGTCTACAGGTTGGGGTCATGATGGTGAACAAGTGTGCAAAGTTTCAAAGCCATATGTCAATGGACTTTGAAAATATTTGAGGTATTACAAAAACTTTAACCTAAGTGGTTATGCCGACACCGACACCGACGCTCGGGTGACTACTATAGCTCTACTTATTCTTATCAAATAGTCGAGCTAAAAATCTAAGCTTTGGGCATTATACTTTTTTATACAAGGAAACAAACTATCCAAAGATCATTACAATAAATTTTCATCAAAATTTTCCAAATAGTTAAGGAGTAGTTCTTGTTAAAAGGTTTATCTATATTAGTTGGCTATCTTATTCAGAAAACTTGAACCATTTGAACAATTTTTAAAGAAAACTTTTCAAGGACCATTCCAGTAGAGTTAAATCAAAATTAACCAAATAATTAAGGAGTAGATCTTAAAAAGGTAGACATTAGCAAGAGAGCCATGATGGTTCTGAAATCGCTCACATGAACATGAAAACTCTCCATGACAAGGAACAAGTAATACTGTGAACTATAAACAAAAGCTGATATGAAATCTAAAACTATCAGAAAGTTCATATTTGTATCTGAAATAGTGCATGTGTAAAAACATTATTGGTTGCTATTGCTAAGGGAGAACATTAACAGTTGCAAAAGATGTGTGCATGTAATGAAAATAAATGACCCCCTGGGGAGGTACTAATTTTGATCCCGAAGCTTTTATTTGAACAAACTTGGCAAAAACTCACTAGAAGATGTTTCATGTTAAATATCTAAGCTCTAGCTCTTTGGGTTTTTTAAAAGAAGATTTTTACAATTTACAATTAAGCAAACTCAATGACCCCATTAGGCAGAGCTAATTTTGACCCCGGGGCTTTTATTTGACCAAATGAGGAGATGTTGTTTAAAGTAAAAGTTTACAGAGGGATGCCGCATGGACACCAGACGAAGAGCGATCACAAAAGCTCACCTTGTCACTTTTTGACAACATGAGCTAAAAAGTATCCAAGGATCATTCCTGCAAAGTTTCATCACTATTGGTGCAGGGGCCTAGGGGGCCTAGACAGAGGAGATATTGTTAAAGCAAAAATGTAAATTACTGACAAGAGACGCCGGATAACAAGCGGTGGGTATCTCTTAGCTCATCTTGAGTTAAACACAAAAGAATCCATTAAGTTGACCTTGACAGTCTCAGTCTTTTAAAAGTAAAAGTCACATCTAAATTATTCAATATGTTTGTTTGGTAGCAAGTCTTTGTTTAAGTATAAATCAAATCAGTACAATTATGATAGTTTAAATAAAATTAAATACTTTGACCTAGACAGTCAAGGTCATTTAAAGGTCAAGGCCAGTTCAACCATTAGAAGGCCTTGTCCTAAAGGCTGTTTTGTCTAAGTATGAAGCTAATCCATTTACTAGTATTAGTCAATTTTAGCAAAAACAGTGAAAATTCATTTATTTAACCTTCAAGGTCAAGGCCTTAATGAGCCAAGGTCAATTTGAGTTTGATATCCATGTACATGATGGTCTTATCCTAAAGAATGTTTTGTCAACATTGTAAACACAGTTATATAACTTGACAGAGTTATGGCGTTTTGAAATGGTGAAAAATATAAGTTGGCAAGTCATTGCTATGACTTGTTATGAAGTTGAGAAATATTCAACTTATCAAATTTATGAAGTTGAAAAATATTCAACTTATCAAATATATGTAAATGAAAGACTTACCTAGTGACCCCAAACTCCATCAAAACTTAAAGGACCACCTTAGGTATGTTCTCGTAAATATGAGACATTGGTTAAAAAAAGGCTGTATAAAAGTGTAAAAAATCTATTGTTAGCACAAGTTATATTGACATTGTGATCCCAGCACTGGACCATCCAAGGTATGTTCCTTCCAAATATGAAAAGCCATCAGTCTATAAAGGCTGTATAAGCTAATGTTTAAAAATCTATTTTTGGCACCCTTGACCTTGACACAATGACCTCTAACTCAATCAAAGGAAGAAGACCATGCAAGATATCTTCCTACCAAATATGACAAACATCTGTCAATAAACAAAAGCTGTATGGGCAAAAGGGTAAATATCAATTTTAGTACTGGTGGCCTTGATGCCACTAACCCCTTACTCAATCCAAATGGCACACTGTCTCTTCATGCTTAACATTTGTGTCAATTTATTTCAAAATCCATTGAGGCCAGACAAAAATTTCAAACACATGCATGCATGGCCACTATATGCCCACTCTGTCATTATCATGGCAGGGGCATAAAAAATGATGTGCAAAATCTCCTTTCTGCTATCCATATTTTAAGTTTCATACAAATATTTTCAGTACTTTAGGAGTTATCACAGGATACAGTTTTTGTTGACAGATTGACATACAGACAGACAGACAGACAGATGGAGGGCAAACCTATAGGCCCCTGCCTTTTAACCATGTATTGTATTTAGCTTTCATAAACATCAAGCCAAAATGATACAATGCAAACAATACTACATCAATCTATAATAAAATCACCTTGTTTATTTTTTGTGCCTGTATCTAGCCCCTGTTGCAATAGGTACACTGCTACCTCTTTCTGCCCTGCCTGAGCTGCCACATGTAATGCTGTATTCCCAAAACTGTCCTGACAATTAATCTTCCCATTAAATCTTCCATCCAACATCTATAAAGAACAAGATTGCATTTGTACAGAAATGTTACGACACCACATTAATATTATCATTTAATAGTGAGAACAGAAGTAGATCTCTACTTTTATCTATACAATTGAACTTTGCCATAATGCAGCAGTGTCTGGTGAATTTGGGGGTCAAGTTCAGTGTGTACAAAGGCCATACAGTACTATAATACCGTTTTTTACAGTTTTTTACACAAGTATCTAAATTTCGCTATATTCATGTGCAATGAATATCCTAAAAAATAGGTTCAATAAATTTTCCTTCAATTTCATACATGGATGTCGTGAGTTTCTGGAATTTTATATTCTGCTTTAGATTTGCTGCCCAGTTTAGTCGTATATATTTTACATTGTGATAATTGCAAATCAATTCATCAAACTTAAATATTCACGGTTGTTAAAAATTAAATGTTTTTTTGTTTTTTTGTTTTTTTTTAATGTTTTTTTTAAGTACATAAAAAATCTTAACTGACACAGTGACAAAAAAGGTATTATTGTTTACGCTTATTTAACTGATTGTCTGATAAAATAATATAATTCACACCTTGCAAGAAGGTAAACAAACACAGGCAGATAAACAATTACATGTTAACAATAATGAGACAAGGCAATAAGTGTGAAATTCAGAATATATACTTGTAAGCCATACATCAAACAAAGTTTTGACTGTGAAAACAATACTTTTCTGAGAAAAAGAGTGCTCTTTGTCAGCTGAAAAGTGTAAAAAAAATAGAAACATGTACAACAAAATCGCTGAAATTAGATTAGCTAAACTTAGATTACCCCCAACATCGCATAATTTGCCATATGTGAAAATAACCTGATATACTGATTGATTCAAAATAGAAATATTCTTACTTGATAAAAATCTAAATATTTACAAATTGCAAATGTAAACAAGTTTTTTTTCAATATATGGGCTGTGTCACTTTGTTTTTGACCCAAGATGACCAAAATTCAACTTGACATAGAAATCCTTTAAACAGCCTTGCTGAAAAATTTCCAGGATATTTGAGGTTAAAATATAACATTTGTGGTGAACCTCATCAAATTATGCTGCTGCAACATAATTATATTTTGCCTTTGCCTTCAGAATTATCAGCCTAGACATTCTTGCACGACGAAGAGTTCATTTTAAATCCAAAGGAATTCACAAATGCATTTTTTGAAGCAATAACAACAAACTAAAGCCGCCCAGTCCCCGGACGGCAAAACGATGATCAATGACTGTCCATTGCTTGCTCATGAATCGTCTGGGAACCAGGTGATATTCGTTCGCAAACTGGTGTCTATTTTGGTGCCGGACAAGGCCTAGGCAATGTCCACCCAGGTGCCTTTAAAATCAAATGGTCATTTTTTGTATCAAAAACAATCGTCCAATCCAAAAACATCGCCAGATCACTGCCCGTTGACCAGGCCCTGTCCGCCCGATGATTATTTTAATTCACTGACCCTAAAAATGATTGTCCGAAGGCTGTTAGCTTTTCAGTTGTCCTTAAAATTGACAGCGCCCACCAGATGAGCAAGATTTTCAGCTGCTGCTGTTCGATTGTCACTGCCGCCGGAGGAATGCCAGCCAATATTGTGTAGTTTTTTTTTGCTATTTGTGACTAAGGCAAGACTGGGACAGATATAAAGGTGGAAAATTTAGTAAGCAGGGTTGCAGGGTTTTATTTTCTGTTAATGTCATCTGTAAGGCTGAGACAGAAAGAAAATTTAGTATGTTTTGAATTTAGTTTATGTCATCTGTTGGTCTGGGGAAAATCATCTGTTTTAGTTTGACAGATGACATAAACAAATTCATAACTACTTACTAAATTTTCTATCTGTCCCAGTTTGAGAGTTGACATTAAAGGGACTCCACTGAGGTTTTTTGACATGATGGGACTGAAAATATTTTTTCCAGATATATGTACCATTTGATGTAGGTTTAGACCACTTATCTTTGTGCAAAATCTAAGATCATTCGCGCACTTTGCTTTTCCAGAATAATTTTTCAAATTGTGAAAAAATGACCAAAAATTAAAAGCGTTAAAACGTTTTTCACTCAAATCAGGCTAAGAAAAGAATAAAATATGATTTTCAATTTATTTCAAGGTATATTTCTTAACTATCCTTGCATATATGTATGTTTAAAGTGCCCCAGATCATTTATGTAAGAAATTCAAATGTTATGTTTTTAGGCATTTAAACCGCAGTAAAGTCCCTTTAACTTTACCCATAACATAATAAAAGTAAATTTACTTACTAGATGTTCTATATGTTCTATCTGTCCCAGTCTGACAGATGATATAAACTCCTCTTCCAGTCGACTAGCATCATGTTCTTCTGCAGCTGAAAAAACAAAAACACAATTCAGTAATATTACTGAGAGCCGTACAGCTAGCTATATAAGCCACATCCTCTACTCATTTATAACAAAATATAGATTCGATTACTTATTTTTTCATGTGAAGTAGGAAAATTTTCAACCAACACTTATTTCAAGAAATTTCTATACAAAATACCAGATGAAGTATTATATCAGACACAAAGCAGAAACAATTAAGTTTAAATCTATTTGTTCTAGCTCTATTGTGAGGAAAGTTTCAAGCTGTTTTGAACCACTCTTCAGTCCAGTTCCTGAAACTTAACCAGTATTGCTACCATATAAGAAAGGAACCATTACTGTAATGAAAGTAGGGCTTGAATGTAGTACTTGGATCCAAGTTCCTTAAGTAGGCCAACACTTAACAAAAACACCATCTCTTTCTGGAAACAATCTTATTGCTTATCACAAAATCAAAACCAAGTCACATCTTAAACAAGAGTGCCATGATGACTTTTAATCACTCACCTAGGTAGATGATTCAAAATGAACAAGACATTGGTAGAAACATCAATTTTACAAACTTCTGTGTGGAAGTGTTGGTGTATTAAAAGAAAAAAAATGTTGAATTGATACCTTTCGTATTATTATTTCATAATGGACTCTACACAAAGGATATTCACACTAAATAAAACTTTAAAATGGTGACTAGAATTTGAAAGTGTTTTTTAGCTTTGGTAGCAATCTTGATCAGCAGCCTAGATACATTTAATTTTATATACCATGGACCACATGCAACAGAGAAAGGCCAATTTCTGATATAGTTTCATCAAAATTTCAACGCCCAATAGGATGGCAATATTAAAGTTTTTAATTAAATATTCAGTTGACTATATTGCATATGTGTTTTTTTGTTTTTTTTATTTTAGCTATGGTGGCCATCTTGTCCAGCAGACCTGAATGATTTTAGTAATTTTACTAAAGGACTGTCTAATAATAATTTCTGTAGAGTTTCATCAAAATCTACTGGGCAGTTGAGGACAAGATGGTTTTTTTTTTACTTTTTTTCTTCTCCTATTTTTGTCTCTTATGTTTTCTTAATTTTGACATACATACTGAAGGATATGATTGGAGAAGTACCAGGTATTACTTTTTCTCATATTAATGTGATGTACTGTTTTCTTTAAATACATACCCCGAATAAGTCTTTGGATTTCCGGAGTTTTGGCAAGTGACTTGGCAGTGCTTCCTTCAGCATTAATAATTGAAACATCAGCCCCATGTTGCAACAATAAAGTCACCACATCCTAGACACAATTAACTACTTCATACAATAAATAAATAACTGGTTCATACATACTATTACATATACCATACAATCAAGATTTTTAGCCATAAGAATTACATGTACTTGAAAAATTTTATGTATCATTCCTCCATTATCATATCATTATCAGATTAACATTCTTAGACACAGTGTTTATTTATAGCATTGAAGTGGTCATTTAAACATATATTACACAAGTTTTGATAATGCTCACTAATAATTAGTGACTGATGCTAATGACTCATTTTATTAAATGAACAAAAAAGTTTCTAGAAATCTACTTTCAATAATGCAAATATACATACAAAGTAATTTGTAACAACTTCACAATATATGCTGTCAAAAGGTTTAAAATTTTCTTTAATATCTTATTGAAAAAGAAAAACAAACCAGTCTGCCAGTGTGAGCTGCTTTGTGTAAAGCTGTGTCCCCAACATTGTTTACTACATTTACTGATACACCATACTGTAATAAACAAGAGTCAATTTTGACCTACATTTACTGAAACATCATACTGTAATAAACATGAGTTAATCTTGACCTACATTTACAGATACACCATACTGTAATAAACACTAGTTAATTTTGATCTACATTTACTGATACATCATGCTGTAATAAACATGAGTTAATCTTGACCTACATTTACAGATACACCATACTGTAATAAACACTAGTTAATTTTGATCTACATTTACTGATACATCATACTGTAATAAACATGAGTTAATCTTGACCTACATTTACAGATACACCATACTGTAATAAACACTAGTTAATTTTGATCTACATTTACTGATACATCATGCTGTAATAAACATGAGTTAATATTGACCTACATTTACTGATACATTATACTGTAATAAACATGAGTTAATCTTGACCTACATTTACTGATACACTATACTGTATTAAACATGAGTTAATCTTGACCTACATTTACTGAAACATCATACTGTAATAAACATGAGTTAATCTTGACCTACATTTACAGATACACCATACTATAATAAACACTAGTTAATTTTGATCTACATTTACTGATACATCATGCCGTAATAAACATGAGTTAATCTTGACCTACATTTACTGATACACTATACTGTATTAAACATGAGTTAATCTTGACCTACATTTACTGATACATCATACTGTAATAAACATGAGTTAATATTGATCTACATTTACTGATACATCATACTGTAATAAACATGAGTTAATATTGACCTACATTTACTGATACATTATACTGTAATAAACATGAGTTAATCTTGACCTACATTTACAGATACACCATACTGTATTAAACATGAGTTAATATTGACCTACATTTACTGATACACCATACTGTAATAAACAGGAGTTAATGTTAACCAACATTTACAGATACACCATACTGTAATAAACACAAGTTAATTTTGATCTACATTTACTGATACACCATTCTGTAACTAGAACTATCACTAAATGTGAATAAAAAGCCCCCCCCCCCAAGACTGCTTCGGAATTGAAGATGTTACTAGTAACAGAATACCTTGTAAAAGAATTGAAATAGAGTTATAGTTGTGGGAAATTAAAGATAGTTGTGGTTCTTGTAATATTGTTGCATTTCCTTTCACTGTTGACCATTGATGAAGTTTTATTGAATTACTCTGTAATAAGTCAAGATAGAGTTACGGTTCTTAAGCACTGCACTTCCACATAAGGTTGCTATATACCAAGTTTGATGACAATAACTCATTCCAATTTCTAGTTATCATACAGAAACCATGAAACTGACCTGCAAGCTGACTCCTATAAACCCCCCTAAACTTTGTTTGTGGGGGTATAAAAAGGTTAATTTGGACTGACGCTGACATCGACGAGTGGGTCTTGAAATTAACCCTGCTTTATCTTCGAAAGTGGAGCTAAAAATGGGTAACAATCTTAAAATTTTAGTACATCAAATTCTATACCTAGCCTTGTCTACAGATGGTGATTTCTTCTATTGTACTTATATAATGTTCCACTAGTTATTTAACAATGAAAATTGTATTAAAAAATATGACATAACGAAATATTTCATTTGCCCCTCATCTGAATTAATAAAAAGTTTTCTCAGTTGTATATGGAACATATCTGTTACAACACAATCAGAAAGTTAAAATAAAAGTCCTAGCAGGTGCGTTAAGTCTGGGCTTCACTTGAGACTGCTTACACCAAATACCTTAGAATTATGGGTAACAAGGAAATATGAGGTGTAAACATATGTGCAGGTCAGAATGTGTCCACAGTGTTGTACCTCTAAAAGTATCTGGACTACCTCTGGATGACCAAAGTATGATGCCAGGTGCAACGGGGTCCATCCTCTGTTTGCTTTCTGTGAACCTGTCAGATATACAACAAAACATTAAAAATATAAAACAAGAGTCACTGCCAGGTGGGGATAACACTCAACTTATTCTTATTTCTAAGGTCAAATACATTGAAGAAAGAATATTGCAGAAAAGAATACTCCTAGAAAACATAATGGTCTTGAACAAATTATAATTCGAATTTACATTTGACCTTGATGGTGAAGCAGAAGGTCTTTGAAAGGTGAAAGTTAACAACTCAATTTAAAAGTTTGGTCTTGAAGGTGTTGTGTTCAGGTGTAAACCAAATACATCAATAACTATCAAAGTTGTCACAAATTTGATAAAGAAACAAGACTTGTCATTGAAAGACAAATGCACCCAAGCTGGGCCCAGTAAAGGAGCATGACCTTTGACTTCCAGCCAATGCATGGTTTTAACAAAAAGTGTTATAAGAATGAAGATGCAATAGAAAACACATTCTTTTCTCTTACAGTTCCGAATTATTTCAGAAGCATCCATGAATGACAAAATGTAACCAGACACTTTTTTGACATCTTTGACAAACTGACATCAGCTCTTGACAAGTCTTAAAATGCCATAAAATGATTGCCTAGTTACTTCAATATTCATTCATGAATGAAGGGAAAACCATATAGGACCATCATTGCAGTTTAATGAAATTTAATCTTGTTTTGATTTTAACTTTGATTGTTTCACAGTTTTCCTAGAAAACTAGCAAGACTAGCATGGGGGTTAAATAAGTAATCTAAGAATTACTGGTCACACAAGTCTAGAAGCTAAAATAAATTCTTTATAATCTATTGATAGATGTTTTAGATATAATACCTTTACAGTTAATATCAAGATCAACTTTGCCTTCCTTTTTACTCTGTAATATGTCACGTATAATGTTGGCTTGTCCTCGTCTTGAGCACAATAACAGTGATTCCTCCAGAGATATTTCCTCATCAGTGGATTCTGTCCCTGACATTTCTATCTGATATCATCTACAAAAAGACCAACACTTAATTTGGCAATATTTCCTTAAAAACAAGTTAACACAAAAAGCTCAAGGACAAAGTCAACCAATATAATGTCTTGTAATATCAACCAAAGATCCATTGTGTATTTTTCTCATACTGTTAATGTGCATTAAGACAAAATAATTTTAGAAAGTTATCAAATGGGACTATTACCAGAACATAATTAAGTATAAATATCCATGTTAGTACTGGTACAGAATCAGGGAATATCCATATTAGTACTGGTACAGAATCAGTGAATGTCCATGTTAATACTGGTACAGAATCAGGGAATATCCATGTTAGTACTGGTACAGAATCAGTGAATATCCATGTTAGTACTGGTACAGAATCAGGGAATATCCATATTAGTACTGGTACAGAATCAGTGAATGTCCATGTTAGTACTGGTACAGAACCAGTGAATGTCCATGTTAGTGCTGGTACAGAATCAGTGAGTATCCATGTAAATACTGGTACAGAATCAGTGAATATCCATGTTAGTGCTGGTACAGAATCAGTGAATATCCATGCAAGTACTGGCACAAAATCAGTGAATATCCATGTTAGTACTGGTACAGAATCAGTGAATATCCATGTTAGTACTGGTACAGAATCAGTGAATAGCCATGTTAGTACTGGTACAGAATCAGTGAATAGCCATGTTAGTACTGTTAAAGAATTAGTGATTATCCATGTTAGTACTGGTACAGAATCAGGGAATACCCATGTTAGTACTGGTACAGAATCAGTTAATATCCATGTTAGTACTGGTACAGAATCAGTGAATGTCCATGCTAGTACTGGTACAGAATCAGTGAATGTCCATGCTAGTACTGGTACAGAATCAGTGAATGTCCATGTTAGTGCTGGTACAGAATCAGTGAATGTCCATGTTAATACTGGTACAGAATCAGGGAATATCCATGTTAGTACTGGTACAGAAGCAGTGAATGTCTATGCTAGTACTGGTACAGAACCAGTGAATGTCCATGTTAGTGCTGGTACAGAATCAGTGAGTATCCATGTAAATACTGGTACAGAATCAGTGAATATCCATGTTAGTGCTGGTACAGAATCAGTGAATATCCATGCAAGTACTGGCACAAAATCAGTGAATATCCATGTTAGTACTGGTACAGAATCAGTGAATGTCCATGTTAGTACTGGTACAGAACCAGTGAATGTCCATGTTAGTGCTGGTACAGAATCAGTGAGTATCCATGTAAATACTGGTACAGAATCAGTGAATATCCATGTTAGTGCTGGTACAGAATCAGTGAATATCCATGCAAGTACTGGCACAAAATCAGTGAATATCCATGTTAGTACTGGTACAGAATCAGTGAATATCCATGTTAGTACTGGTACAGAATCAGTGAATATCCATGTTAGTACTGGTACAGAATCAGTGAATAGCCATGTTAGAACTGTTAAAGAATCAGTGATTATCCATGTTAGTACTGGTACAGAATCAGTGAATATCCATGTTAGTACTGGTACAGAATCAGTGAATGTCCATGCTAGTACTGGTACAGAATCAGGGAATATCCATGTTAGTACTGGTACAGAATCAGTGAATGTCCATGCTAGTACTGGTACAGAATCAGTGAATGTCCATATTAGTACTGGTACAGAATCAGTTAATATCCATGTTAGTACTGGTACAGAATCAGTGAATGTCCATGCTAGTACTGGTACAGAATCAGTGAATGTCCATGTTAGTGCTGGTACAGAATCAGTGAATGTCCATGTTAATACTGGTACAGAATCAGTGGAATATCCATGTTAGTACTGGTACAGAATCAGTGAATATCCATGTTAGTACTGGTACAGAATCAGTGAATATCCATGTTAGTACTGGTACAGAATCAGTGAATATCCATGTTAGTACTGGTACAGAATCAGTGAATATCCATGTTAGTACTGGTACAGAATCAGTGAATAGCCATGTTAGTACTGTTAAAGAATCAGTGATTATCCATGTTAGTACTGGTACAGAATCAGTGTATGGCTATGTCCATGTTAGTGCTGGTGCATAATCAGTGAATATCCATGTTAGTACTGGTACAGAATCAGTGAATGTCCATGCTAGTACTGGTACAGAATCAGTTAATATCCATGTTAGTACTGGTACAGAATCAGTGAATGTCCATGCTAGTACTGGTACAGAATCAGTGAATGTCCATGTTAGTGCTGGTACAGAATCAGTGAATGTCCATGTTAGTGCTGGTACAGAATCAGTGAGTATCCATGTAAATGCTGGTACAGAATCAGTGAATATCCATGTTAGTACTGGTACAGAATCAGTAATTATCCATGTAAGTACTGGTACAGAATCAGTAATAATCCATGTAAGTACTGGTACAGAATCAGTAATAATCCATGTAAGTACTGGTACAGAATCAGTGAATGTCCATGTAAGTTCTAGTACAGAATCAGTAATTATCCATGTAAGTACTGGTACAGAATCAGTGAATGTCCATGCAAGTACTGGCACAAAATCAGTGAATATCCATGTAAGTACTGGTACAGAATCAGTGAATGTCCATGTTAGTACTGGTACAGAATCATTGAATATCCATGTAAATTCTGGTACAAAATCAGTGTACTTGTCTTTGACATTTTGTTTACAATATCAAGGTTTCTTATAACCAATTTAAGAATAAGTAATTACATAGCAAATATATGTTGTTCAATAAAACATACATTGCAATATGAAAGATATCTGTGATAATTATTCTCAGTCTAATCATTATTATACAGTTATTGACTAATGAGCCATTTTATATCATGTGATATTCACCGGTAAATGTCATATTGAACAAGGCGATAGCTGAGGTCAATATGACATTTTGCCCAAGAATATCACATCATATTCAATGGATCATTAGTCAATAATTGTTTTATATTTATGATCAGTCTAAGATTTAATAAGAAAGGCCTAATATTAAAAACAAGTTATCAATATACTTTAATTGCAGTCAGTGAATATGAATTATGCATGCACAGTTAATTGTCTTTGCTGTATGGTTATTGAATACAAGTCTTGGAAAACCAATTCAGTCAGTGAATATGATACTACACCCTGTGAATATGATTTTATAATTTGTTCTGTTGACTACTGTTTGAACCAATGAGATTGCAGCTATTTTAGATCATATAATAAATACCGGTAGTTTTATACACAAATTTTAAGTTTATACAGATTACAGAAAATTTCCATTTTGAAGTTATAATTTATAAAGCTACTTCAAGTGAATTCTACTCTTTAACCATATTGTCTTAATATATGTAAACATTTCTGTCCTGTAACCATGATGGTTTCTATCTTTATTTAACATTCTAAATGTTGTTGCATATTGTACTAACTGGACATAGATCCAAATCTTGTTGGTGCATATACATGTGCAAATTATTTGGTTGTAACTTAAGTTTTTTTTAGTGATTTCTTTTAGCCAAACCACTAATTCTGTAATCATTAAGCTGTAAACAAGAATTTGTAACAGAGTTACCAACGTCCCCTGCCTAAGGGTTTTAAAAGATTGAGGTATTCAGTGCAAAATCTTGATCAATGCTAGTTTTGGCACTTTTTCTTGGTAACTCTCTAAAACTTTTGAACTTATTCTCATGATAAGATAAAACAAACCATGATAAGCTTTAAAGTTCTTCCTAAACCCTGATGCCAAAAATCAAAACCCTGATCAAAAAGTTCTTGACCCGATGTACTTCAGGTAGTCTGAGAATCCAACTAATGGTCTAACTTTTCTAATCACCCTCGACATCAAAGCACTTTGCCCCCTGTGCTCCAACTTGTTTAACCTTTCAAAATAGAACTCTATATTTTGGTCTTCAAAGAAATCATTGACTGCCTCCATGACACCTTCATTGCTTCCAGAAGGATACCACGAAGCTTGGTTTTCAGTTTCGGAATCAGGTAAAAGTCAGTGGGGGCCAAGTCCGGAGACTATTTGGGATGGGTATGAATCAAAGCCACAGTCAGTTGCAGCAGCCATTGCAACTTAGGATGTGTGAGCTGGCGCATTGTCATGCAGAAGCAGAACGCCTTGAGTCAGTTTGCTCCTCCTTTTATGCGCGATTTCTTGACGCAGACACCATAATTCATCTGCATAGTACTTACCGTTTATGGTACGACCTTGCTCAAGATAGTCAATCATGATTATCCCCTGACTATCCCAAAAAATTGAAGCCATCATCTTCCCTGCTGATGGCACCCTCTTGAATTTATTCGGAGGGGGTGAGCTTGGGTGCTTCCACTGCATGCTCTGTTTTTTGGATTCTGGATCGAAGTGATTGACTCATGTTTCATCCTGAGTTACAATCATGTAGATAGATAAAATCAGGTTCATCCTTGCAGCGGGACAAAAGATATCTTGAAATGTCAAGCCTGGTCCATTTCTGGTCGTCAGTCAACTGTCTGGGGACCCATCTAGTGGAAACCTTTGACATGCAATAGACATCAGTCAGTATTGCCTGAACTGAACCAAAGCTTATACCCACTTCCCCAGCAATGCTTCGCAGGTCTCACCTTCTGTCGCACATGACCAGATCGTGCACAACTTTGGCAGTTTCATCGTTGGTGGCCTCTTTTAGCCGCCCAGGCCGTTCATCAAAACACTTCTTTTACTGGAGAAAGAGTATGAGTCGTTGGTAAGGGAAGAAGAAGAATTACAGAATGAGGCTAGGATAAGTAGGCTGAAGAAAAAGATAAGTCAAAAAAGAAAATCTTGGTGAGAATTTCCATCTTTCTCCTGAATTAGCATCCTGTATTTTAAAAGATTTAAGAAAGAAAAAGAATTTAAAGCTCAAAGCAAGGAAAGAATTAAACTGAAAACGGGCCTTTTAGAGTCTTCATCATATTCTGAGTCTGAAAGTTCAAGCTTGGATTCTTAGCAAAGTTATAAAGTGAAAAAAAAAAGAAATTCTGCAAAAAATCTAGACTGACTATCATGATGGATCTACAGATTCAAATAGCTCAAATTACAGTCTTAATAAGAAGAATTCATATACCAAAAATTCTGGTATTTCGTCAAAATCATGCCTTTCATCATGTAAAAGTTTTGATTCATTGGAAATGAATCTACTTGTGGCAGGAGAATTGGAAATTATTTCTCAATCAATATCAAAAAAGAAAAAGAAACAATATTAGAATTGTTGAAACGTTTAATGTGTTTCACTAAATAGTCTATTTTAAAATCATATATTTTGAGAGAAATTGAGTTAGGACACAAAAAGTGGGGGGGGGGGATGACTTTTATTATGTGGAATCCAACGTTTAAGCCAGAGCTTCTTTAAAAAAAGATTGAGTTACAAAGTTAATGAAAGTTGAAAAAGTCTTTGCATATAAAAAATCTAGAATCTACAGATTTAAAACTACATCTATTTTGCATAAAAACTTTGTTGTTTAGGTGTTAGACTGAATTATGTCAATTTTGACTAATGTTAACTCTGGTAATATGGAAATATGCCATTACCGTGAAATATTTTAGTGATGATGCAAAATTTTACTTATGGACTGATGGAACACGGAAATAAACTCGAGTGAAACCATAAATTATGGCATAGTCTATCAACAGCTCATCTAAACAGCTGGGAAATACTTACAGAAAATATTTGGGTTCAATTTCTAGCGCAATAACACAACAGACATTAAAATAATAGAGTCCCTGTGATTTTCATTGTCGATCACATGACGTTATCTGGTTGTTTTCAATACCTCTACAATATCTCTACTTTCGTTTCACGCCTGAGGGCGGACAACTCTTGACAGACAGACGTGCAATCGCAACTTTTCGGTCCTTTCCGTCAGTCTTCGGTTATTACAGATAATAGCCGAGGATGTTCCGATTGACAGACGTGACGTCGTCTCGGCCCTATCACTATTGAAAGGAATTATGACAAATGTAAAACTATTTTGACCTTCACCTGTTCACTCACTATATCACGGATTTGTAATATAAATCCGTGACTAATACCCTTGAATTTTAAATTAAGAGGTACGATCACTATTAAAACAGAGACATGTTATCTATGTCTCTGATTAAAACAAATAGAAATTGAAAAAGTCGGCAGTTTATTGTTATATGTTAATTAGCTATAATAATAATAATAACTTTAATTTGAAAAGGTGATATATCAAGAGTACATGTATAATAAACATACAACTTATTTTAAATATGGCTTTCTATACATTGTACATACAGTATAAACAGAAACAACAATAAATAGCAATATAATTACGGCAAACACTCTTACAAGAACAACATTTTCATGGAAAGTAAAATATTATAATAAAAATTAGATCTAGTACGCACATGCAATCATCCATCAATGTTAACAAACAAACAAACAAAAGATCTCTGTAAATTTCCGTTGAAACATCAATTTCTTTAAGCTGTATTTTTCTCTGTTATTAAATAATATCAGCTGCAAATGTATTCCATAAATGTGTCGCTTTGTATGTAAATTTTTGTTTGTTTCAACGCTTAAGATTATATTACGGTGTTCCGTTTGGACAATCGTGATTTCTTATTTAGTCTGCACCCGCGATGCACGATGGCACGATGGTAAAAACGCGATGGTACGATGGTGAAAACGCGATGGTACGATGATGAAAACGCGATGGTACGATGGTGAAATCGCGATGGCACGATAGCACGATGGTGAAAATGCGATGTTACACCGCGTTTTCACCATCGTACCATCGCGCTTTCACCATCGTACCATCGTGCTTTCACCATTTAATAACTGGGAGAAGACCTTCAAGTACACCAGACTGGTGAGTCATGTTCGCCGTATGTAAGGTCAGTGGTCAGTTTTGTCCTTATGTGGCAGTGTTTGATTATTGCGTAGTGTCGTGCGTGTCCTGTGTGTCAGTGTTTTAGTAATGTCCTCTGTGGTAATGTCCTCTGTGTCACCGTGCGTCAGGTCAGTGTTTTAGTAGTGTCATGTGTGCCGCAGTGTAATGCCCTGTGTAGACTTTGTGTGTAATGTTTACAGTGATTTTGTGTTAGAGTAGTGTCCTTTGTGGCCGTAGTATCGTGCGCGTGTGTGGTGGTCTGTGTGATGTCCTATGTGTCAGCGAGTGAGAAGTGTCGTAGTCTCAGTGAGTAGCGTCTTGTTTGACCGTAGTGTCGTGAGTGTGAGTAGTGTCCTGTGCGTTAGGTCAGTGTTTGAGTAGTGCTCTTTGTGTCCGTGTGTGAGTAGTGTCATGTGTGTCAGATCAGTGTGTGAATAGTTTTTGTTATCTTATTTTAATTTTTTATCATTTAGTATTTTTTAGTGGAGAAGCGGGGGATCGAACTCGCAACCCCTAGACTTGTAGTCAGACAGTGTTACCACTGCACCACAGCGCCCGCTCTGATTTATAACTATTTTGGAAGTTCCTTTATACATTATCACATTAGTACACTTGAAATTGGGTAATGCAATTTAATTTTCACACCTAAATAGTTAATAAACCGTTTAGGTCTAAAGAGTTTAACAATGTCTGACATTCTTATGGGGTTATGATAAGGGACTTTTCACAAACGAGTAGTTAAAAAAAAAGTAAGACTGTTGACAGGCAATAAAAAGCATACAAGAAAAAGCCATGTTCCGTTAAATATAATCACAGTTCTAATATGGATAATAAGAAAGCTGATATCAATACTTGTTGTTAATGAGAAATGATGGATTTAATCTTGTTTCACTAGTGTTGGCGGAAATCAGGTGAAAAAAGTATGTTAAAGTAGCCAACCTCCATACCCATGCTAATTTTCAATGCAATGTAAATTAAATGTAAAATATTTCAAGTGCACAAAGAAAGTAATTAATATATTGCAAACAACACTTTCACTTTCAACTTAAACACAATAAACTTTCAGGATAGGCCTTCTAGTTAACGAGACAGACCTTGACCTTTTTTCATAGATGCCCTTGATCTTGAAGGTCAAAGTATTTAAATTTTCTTTTTTTTTTTTTTGTTTGCTGTAACTGGCTAAAACTTTGTTAAGACACACCATTCTTTAGAATAAGACTTTCATGTTTATCAAACTCGAATTGAGCCTGGCTCATTAATGACCTAAACTATAAAGGTTAAATTATTGAAATTTCTCTGATTTTGCTATAATTGACTAAAACTTGGTAATTAATAATTGGATTACCAAAACAAACTCTGGGACAAGACCTTCTAAAAAGGTTGAACTGACCTTTACCTTTAAATGACCTTGACCGTCAAAGTCAAATTTTTCATCGGTTTGATCGTGATAACGTCTCAAATTCAGTTTCTTTTACATATTTGTATATTAACTGAACCACTGACTTTAAAAAGTTGTAATATGTCGTCATCTAAGAATTCATGTCCATTCTGGCTTGAATAAACATATTAATATCAAGTGACGCAACTGCTGATCATGAAATACCGGTAATACCTATAAAATTGTATCCTGGCGTCATCGACAACCTTGGACCCTTTTGTCGTTACGGAAGGCATTAGTTTGGTTGGCCAAACTGTACTTAACTGTTTTATACGCAATAGTTATAGTACGAGTTAGTTACGAGGATATAACACTGGCTGGGACGACATCAAGGGATGTTTCTGCTAAAAAATGGCGAGGCCGTTAGCAGAAACACCCCGAGATGTCACTCAGCCAGTGTTATATCCTCGTTAGTAACGAGTTTCATATACTATAACTGTTTTATCGCAATGTACGGTGGCACAAAGGTGACACGTGTGTGTTTTTATTTATCTCGTGGCCACGAGATACTATGTCGTGGCCACGAGATACTATGTCGTGGCCACGAGTTACTAAGTGCCACGGCCTAATTTAAATCGGCTCGATAGAAAAAATAATCACAGCAGAGCTATTTTGGCCGTGTACGTTGACTTTTGTGTTCACGTGACTAAAGTGGTGGGATAAATTCATTTAGTCTGATAGTCTGGGACATAAGACAAAGCCGGCGCCAAGTATAAACAAAACTAAACACACACACATATATACATTCTGGATGCTTTGAATTTTAGGTGAATTTTGATATCGTCACATCTCAGTGAGTTTCATCAAGGAAGAATAAAATGTAACACCATAAAACAAAATGTAAAGTAAAATGTACCGGGATGAGGATAGTTCTTAAACATTTTGCTTAATTTGTAAATGATTACAAAGTTTACAAGCTGTTAAACTTAACCCGCAATTTCGTGAAAATAATATCACAATGCACATGCTTTTTACATAAAGTTATTAAATACAAATATAACAACACATTTTTTTACTTGATTTTTACGAATCAAAATAAAACTAATTTACACAACATGAAATTAACTGCTAATAATAACAGCTCCTTCCATAGGCAAAAATAAAAAGCGTTCCATAATAGACGACGCCGCTCACCGGCGTCGCCAATAAAACGTAAAACAAGTTAACGGGATACATAAAATAGATGTTGCCCTACTTTGAAAAATAATCAATATAAATATGCTAGAGTTTACAAAATGGGTATTTTCTTAGCTACAGGAACTAATTATTATGTCATTGTTAGGCAAGCACTGCTAACATTTCTTTTTGTATTGAAACTTAGAAATAACATGATTTTGCATGTTAACCAGTTTTACTTCGGCCGAGTATCTTTTTCAATAATGCTTATTGTTTAAGATTTCTTCAAGGAGTTATTATGTCATTATTATGCAAGCATTGCTTACATTTCTACTGTATCGGAAACTTAAAAAACAAAATATGCTAGCTTATCAGCTTTACTTCGACCGAGTATCTTTTTAAAGATACTTCTTGTTATATTTATTGACAGTCCATCTAGATTTTACTCAGGCAGCGATAGCTACCTATTCATTTTAAATAATTTTCAATTTACTACCTTTCTTCAGTTTTGTGTTTTGTATTTGTATATTAATTTATTACAGGAAATATTCGTAAACATTTAGATAAAATGTAGATATGTGTAGATAGATAACAACGTTTATTATCTTTAACTTGCGCATGTTTGAGGTATAGAATGTTTGCAGATTTATTTATCAAAACAGCATTTATATCCGCTTACCCTAACATGTCAAATGGCTAAGATTTAATTGAACGAGATTGTACATGGATATTTAAACTTTCATTCAAATCTTAATTGATTATATTTGAACAACTGATAACAGTTTAACGGAAAACAAAATACAAATATCAGCGCAAATACTCTTTTAACTTTTACAGGACCTACTGGGCTAGCACTACTGTCTAAAAACGCCATGTTGAATTTTTGAACTTTTTCAGAGTTAAACATAAGATAACATGGCTACACACGGATCATTTTTTCTCTTTTGTTATATAATTATACTGTCAGGTACGTCTTTATTTTTCCCGTTATTTCCGATATTATTTATATTTACAATATTTTTCATGATTTGAAATAACTAATATTAATTGTATTTTTATGATGTATCATTATGATTTCAGGAGATTTTTTTTTGAATTTTTTTAGTTGGTCGCGCAACCATGCATTAGCATGACATACTGAGCTTGATGGATCTTCCTGCAACCATATGCTCTAAAGCGCGCGTTTAAATTTTACACCACTTTATCGCATTTTCATGTGGTTGAAAGACCCCATTTAGTATATTCTATCTAGAACATGTACGAATATACTTAGCTTCTTATAAATCACCTAGTACAGCACCATTTTGTGTCTTTTGTTTCTCCTGTCTGATCTTACGTCGATTCTGTTTAACTTTCCTAGATAACCAGTAATTACCGTTTTGTGTGATATACATTGATGAGTACAATGCTGGTTTTATATTGGACTCCCACACAGCATCAAAACCTAGCGCCTCGTCCAATATAGGTTTGACAGTTGTTCATGTAGTAAATGCAGTATTTCAGGCCGGAACATTTTTTAATGATGCTAAAATGATGCTAAGCTGAGCTTTCGCCGTTTTTGAGATTGTTTTCCCTTTTTGGGTTACCATTATCATTATTTTATATACACACATTTCAAGTTTATTGACGTCATTATAGTTTGTATATACAACAACAAAAAAAACATGTTAAAAACTCTGACATGATAGTATATGCCCATAATTTGATACCATACGTTAAACTTCTCTGGGGTTGATAGCACTTTCAACTTATTTAATTTTGACTTAATGTAGCTTCCTTGACCTCGGGATTTAGCGTGTACTCGTCAGTAACCTAATTAAAAATACTCAGCAATTGTGTCACGTGATTTTTGTGATGAGAGGATAAATTTCTAAAATAAAGCATTTACATATCATAATTACGGATACATGTACATTCTAAATCTTTGTGTTATATGATGGATTAATTAGTTATGAATGGGAAATAAACGGAAAAATAGACAAAGTAGTGGAAATATTTGTGAAAAAGAGAAAAACAGTAAGATTTTCAAACCAAGAGGCCCGTCAAAGGAGTCGAAAATTTCCTTGAGCGATAAATACGATTTAGGAAGTGTGTTTGGTGGTCCTTATATGGGATCGAAAATGCCAAGAGAAGCTCCGGATGATACTTTGGGAAAAAACAAAATTAAAACACCAAAAAACAACAAACATACTACATGTTTATCCTTCTTAAAATTCATAAACGGTTATAGAATCATGATTTGAGGTCATTTTCCAACTTTGGCGTAGAATTGTATTGAAAAATGACCTTTGTGAACTTAGAAAATTCTTGGTGCAAAATAATTTTCAAAAAAGATATCTTCGTGACCGTATTTTTAAGAGGTCATTTTCCAAAGCTTTAAACTCAGATATGGATTTGGTCTTTTGTGACATTTTCACGCAATCCCCTTTTCTTGTCCGTCGCATCCAGTGCTTTCAGCACTTTGATTAATATATATGTATTGTAATTGTAAAAAAAAAATGTACGCAGAAAGAAAAAACAACAACATTTTACAATGAAAATATGTCCGAAAAAGAAAATTTAAGGCACTATAATCCGAAACAATTTTAAAAGTATTTTAAGAGTTAATCCAGTACATCCGTTACATGTATAAATTTAAGGAATAACCATAAGTAGCGATCTTATTAACTGTTCAAATATCCATGCTGAGATTTTTTGTGTTTACCATTCTTTTAATGTCTTGAATACTCCATATGAAGAATTAAATCAACTAATAAGTTTAGATGAAATTTCATTAATTTTCAATTGTTGAAAAGAGGTAAAATTTAAGGTAGTGATTGTTAATTGAATGAAAATATCACCGTCCGGTTAGGTCAATAGGTAGAGTATTGGACTGTGAATGGGACGACCCTGGTTTGATTCCCAGACGGTGCAGGAAACTTTCATTGGATCATGAAATCCGTTCTACGGTCATTCGCACTGTAACTTTGCTCTGGCATGTACAGACGTTATCAGTTCCTTGCGAAAGTGAAGGCAACTAGTACTGGTAAACTGCTTGACAGCCTGCACAGGAATGATGCGGTGGGTGAACTGTGCTCTTGTAAATTCAATGTGGCTTTCTGTCATGATCCGGAGTGAAAACTACCAACATCACCACCACCACATAAATGAATATTCATAGAAGATTTTGATTGGATATACTCAATGCTATTTTAAATTTGGGTTTTAATCCTGAGAAATGGACTAAGGGAATTATTATACATTTGCATGCATAAAAAGGACTTCGTTGATGATGTTAACACATATAGAAGCAAAACATCAGTAAGTTCGAAAATATTCATCACTGAAACTTTTTGTGAAAGTAATAATATCATATCTGATGCTCATGTTGGTTTTCGAAAAGGGCGTTCTACGTACAGTGAATGCTATTTTTCTATTGTTCTTAGTCCAAAAAATATTTAAATTAAAATAAACGATTACTGATTGTTGATATGATGAAATGTTTAACTGTAAATATAGTAACGCATTATAGCTGACACTGTATAAAATAAGTATTTAAGGTAAAATATTAATAATAATAACAGATACCAAAATGTAAAATCTTGCATTAAGTCATGTTATAGTTATTCAGATATTCAGAGATAATCTCTCTAATTTTATCCTTTCTCTTTGTTGATAATTTAGAATTTTATTTACAAGACAACAATGAAACCGGTTTGACCTTTGATGACTTTATTTTGATCTTCGCTGATGATATGGCCATGTTGGCAAGTCGGCAATAGAAATAATTTAGATCTTTTATATTCATATTGTAACTCTTGGGGACTCAAGGTAAATACCACTAAAACTAAATGGTAATGGTTTTCCGTAAGTTCTACCCACAGAACACTGACCCTATGATGGCCAAATCTTAAATGTTGTAAATGATTTAAACTGCCTTGGTACTGTTTCGAAATCGAAATCGTTTCATAAAATTATTCGGACTTGTCTCAGTGCGTCGATTTGTATAGGAAACCTAACAAAAAAATGCATGTTTTATAGTATTTCAGTTGAGGGCGGAGCGTTCTACGTCTGTTACAGTGACCGAGACAGCGTCTAACGGTAATGTAAAACTTTTAATATTTTGACAAAGAAAATGTATATCACTAGAGAAACTTTAGAATAATGCTATTTTTTGCATTAGTGTCCAACTTTATTTGTCATCCAATGGAAACGCTGTATTTCTTCAAAATAATGAGTGTTAATTTTCATAGAAGAACAAAAGTCGATACTGTTCATAGTCGCCTTCTATTTTTCATAGTGCTTCATAGTATCGCGTTTGTAAAAAAAGTCATTTGCATAAATTTGCACATGCGCTTTCGTGGGCCGCTTTTGAATATTAATTAAGTAAAAATGACCTACATTATTTTTGCATTTATTGATAAAGGATATACATGCAGTTTAGATTTAAATCAATCTTTGCGAAAAAAGATACTGCATGTGTTAAAGTAAAAAACAATACAAAAAAGCAATTCATATTTTTTATTACGAATGTAGAAAACGGTCTTAATTAATTTGTAACTAAGAGGAACCCAAACAAAAAAAAGATAGGAATGAATCAGTATAATAAATGATAAACAAATTTACCATTTATTCCCAATTTATTATAGATGGAAATGACATGCAAATGAGCCAATGCATTATGAATAAATTGTTAATAAATCAGTGAAATGAATTGGTAATGAATTGGGTCCATATTTACCAACTTATTATAAATTGTTAATAAATCAGGTTAACAAATGGGTAATGAATTTGGTCCTTTTCTTGACTTAGTCAATGAATTATCAACAAATCAGGTCAATCAATCGGCAATAAATTAGGTTCGCTGACCAACTGATTCATTAATGAATTGCAAATAAATTGTTAATGAATCACTAATAAATTGTATTTTTTCTTCTTCCATAAACCGAAATTCAATGTATTAATGAATCATTAACAAATCAGGCTTGCCTGCTTATATTCATCTAATGGATTTGAATAAATGCAGGTTCCAATGATGGTGTCAATTCCGGAGAAAAATATGAAAATAATAATAATAATAATAACATATCTTGATAAATTTTATTTATTTTTCTTTTATTTTTACAAACAAAAGCTGACTAGATTAATCAAGAACATACAACAAGATTAAAATTTGTGAACAAATCTATGCCACCACATCATAACATTGAAAACTCATGATGTACGTGCATAGCTCATTTCATAAATATCCCTGCAAATAAAACAGATAATGTCAGGTAAACAAGTAAAGGGTAATAATTCTGGAAATATTCGTGCTTGCTGTTAGGAAATATTTCTAGTTTTAGAAACTAGGGCTTTATGTCAGTCTGAAAACATCTTTGCCTTCCTTTTCAGTAGTGTTTGTCTGGAGCTACACCTTTTTCATTCCTATAATCATTAAATGTTGAATTTTTATACTGAGGCAATGAATGGCATACTCTGAAATAGAAAAGAAAATTCTCATAAAAAGTATCATATTTATAAATACAATATCAAAATTTAAACTTAGACTTCTAGCTGACATATCACTCTGAAAAAAGTATAATATATTTTTGTTCTATTTGCAATACAATCTGAATTTGAATTTCAACTCGAGCCAAATACTCTAAAGGACTCAACCACTTTGGACTGTACATGTTCAATAATAAAACCAGCAGTATATTTCACAAAGTCTGATGATAGATAAATATTTGTTGATAAAACAAACGGGTGAATGTTCGATTTCATTTTCAACAGAGGAATGAACAAATATTTTGTAGCAAGTCCAGATTTTTACCATTTGCTTCAATTAAATTTAAAACGAAATTGAAAGGCTATGACATTGAATTACTTATATGTACATGAACAAAATTCAGATTGAGAAGTATTATTTTTTATCATTTACTTAATATTTAAAAAGCACAAAAGTCATTTTTAAAATTATTAATATATATGTAGCCCTATACTTACGCTTCAAAGATTCATATATGTCATTTCCTTGGAATGCCCTCGTCCCATAACTAATAGCAAACTCTTCACGATCAAAGAAGCCGTCCATCTGCATTTTATTATCTCCCGTTCATCTGCTTTTTACCATCTCATCAGAGTTGCTGATTTTTACGTTCTGTCCTTTCTTTGCTGCTCTTTTCAGTTTTCTGCGAGATAACTAAGTAAAAGAAAAATAGTCTTCTGAAGTCACTTAAAATAAAAAAGAACATCATTTTTCAACGCATTCAAATGTGCTGATGAGCTCAGTGTGAAACAATGCAGATTTATGTTTTAAAATAGGCTGTACATAGATATCGCTAATCCTCATAAACAATGCATGTGCATGCATGTATATTTTAAAACTTGTATCTTGTATCATAAATATTTTTCAATCCAAATCAAATGAATAAAAAAATGTTTAATTTAAGGTGGTGCCATTAGGGTGGGACGAATCGTCACTAAAATGGGGCGAGTCGTTATGGGGCGAATCGATCGTTATCCTAATCTGCACATTACTCCAGTAAATTTTATTTTTTGTCAACTTACATATGATATAGATCTAGAAGGTTTTTAAAAACGCTATGTAGGACGAAAAGAAAATTTTGAACTTACCGTCTATCAGTAGTCTAGATGCCTTGATATTGTTTTTTATCCATATTTTTGTGTAACACCACAAGTTTTCATCTTCCAAAATAACCGCCTTTTTCCTATGCATAGAATTAATGCAAACGAAATGTTATTCCTAGCTATACTATAGTATTGTATAAAGTTCCTTATTTTGCAGCTGCAATGACAAAATCTGATGTAAGTTAGTTTGTTTCTATCATTAGTTATATCCAAAAGAAAGAAAACTGTTTGTATGGTAAGATATCTTTTTTCTGAAATGGCAAAAAAATTTCGTTTCCTATTAATCTTGTTCTGTTGTCGGCTGATAGGGGGCGCTCGGTATGCTGCAGTTCCCTGCAAGATCTTATCGTCTAATCGCGCGGCTGGGAGCCATGCTGTTCAAAACAATAAACTAACAACAGATGTTAAGTCCGAGAGAATTAAGTCGCTTTTTTACGACATTTTACCTTTTTACGCATATACGTTAATCTATTCGACAGTTTTTTTTACTGATAATGATAGCTAACTGATCTAATCATAAAAAGCCGTGGGTATGGATCAGATTGCGTATTAACAATAAGAAAGACAAAAACTGATCTTGATCACTCAAAAATAAAATCTACATGCAAATTAGTTAGACATATTTAACAGTAAAACGAGATTGTATAATTGACTCTTTTTTTACGTTTTGCGCTGAGCATGGAATTAATAATATGGTGATGCTTAAACTAAGAGACTTGAAAAACCCATATATATTTTCCAGTGACTGATTAAAAACAAGTACGGTAATGAGTAAAGGGAAATTAAAAAAAAATTGTATAGTTAAGATCGAGGGGTTTAGTTGTTATGAACAGTAAAACAAAAGGACCTACATCAATGAAAATTTCTGTTATAATTAAGCAAATTATGAACATCTGAAGTACAATGAATATGTTATGAATAAATCCTGGAAAATCTCTGATTTTAATGAATCATGAACAACTTGTGATCGAATATCTCAGAACTTTAAAGTGTAATGAATTTGTAATAAATGGTATCAAATGCAATCGGGAAAAGTTCTATTTCCAATAAATCATGAATAAATTGTATACATTCCAGTTCAAGTGTAATGAATTTGCAATAAATTGTATTGAATATATCTTATGTTTGTAATCAATGGTTAATAAATCTGTCTTTTGTAATGAATCTATAATAAATGGGGTCTTTTCTTTCCAGTAAAAGCACAATTTATTTATGATTCATTTAATGAATCATGAACAAATTGTATTAACAAATCAGGAAAACATGATTTATTCCAGATTTATTCACAATTTTGATATAATTTGTTGATGTATTTTTTTGTTTGGGAAAGTGTGTCTATTCACTTTTTTTCGGTAGACAGAAAGTGAAAGTAGACATTATTTTTTTGGAAAATATATTACGTGACCTCGTGTTTAACACATGACAATTAGCGTATACTTGTATAAATCATATAAGATATAGCTACTGAGTATCAGTTGTCCAATTCATCAAAGTGTATAAATCATATCAGGTAACAATTATCCGACTCATCAAAAAAACAATTTAAAATGGAAACTCGCATCAGCCATATGCCGCAACTGAAACACAAGGGGTACATTGTCTTCGCGCAAAGTGACGTAAATCATGCATGTTTATAAGGTCAAATTTTAAACCCACCTTTCAGGTAATTGTTTTGTAAAGCGGACTGGTAGTGACGTAATAAAATGAATATTCATGAGGCTAAATAAAGTTTGACGCTAAATATGTTAGTATTCATCCGTAGCTGTTCTACAGAAATTAGAAACATTCTCCGGTCGCTATCGCTCCCGTCGAAGTTTCTAATTTCTGTAGAACAGCACGGATGAACACTAACATATACATAGTGAGGTTCCATCAACCCTCATGAACAGACTCAATCAAACCGAGTTTGCATTTCTGTTGTTTTCATTGCTTCTGCAGTAGGCTGTCGTTTATGGTATTCCGTAAGAGACGAATTGTAAACTGATACCTTGTGGAGAAAGTATTGATTCAAGATTTAAGGACTTTTCGAGTGGAAATAAATCATTCAGCGGATGTACCTTTTGATTTGAGCGAATGAATTGTATTTCATTGATTATCTTTGTTTGTATTATTCGAAATGTTCGTTACCGATGCCCCATTGGAGCCTCTGTAAAAAAAAAACTCAACCGATATATAGCAGGTGCAAAAAAAAATTCAACTGCTATATAGCAGTCGAGTTTTTTCCCTATATGAATCAATGGAAAAACTGTACTGCAATATATAATTTACAGTTTTCAAATGCTCATTGAAAGTGTACCGAGTATAATAAAATAGTTTCGGCCTAACTGCCTCGTCATTTTCTTTGCAGAAACATCCCTTGATGTCGCCCCAGCCAGTGTTATAACTAACTCGTTTCATATACTATAACTATTACATACATGTATCTATATTCAGGTACAGTTCTTCTTCAGAGAAATGAGACCGCTAGCTGCAATGTGACGTCACTGGATCAGAGCTATATTAAATTCACTGACAAGAACGTCCTCGTGATCTCAAAACCTTTGGACCTAGAAGTTCTAAAGGTATATCAGAACACGTACCAGTCAAACTTGACAGTTTGCAACTTTCACTTTGTTATTAAATTCTTGAAAAAGAAAAGCAAAGTCAAAGAATAAATATAAATTTATTAATGAACAAAAGAAAAATAAATAACAAATTAAGATTTTTATTTTTATCTTGAGCTTTTTTTTTTCGAAGATTTGGAAATTATTGAAATTTTTATTTTGCTGTATCTGGCCTTCACTCTGTTATTGAATTCATATTAAGACGCAACATTCTTTAGGATAAAGCCTTATATATACAAATGTATATATGAAACTCAATTTACCTTGGCTCATTTATGACCTAAAACTTAAAGATTAAATTATTGAATTTTCAATAATGTTTTCATAAATGGATTATCGTCATACTTGGGACAAAACAACCCTTTCGACAAGACCTTCTTAAAGGCTGAAAAGACCTTAACCTTGAGCTTTAAATGACATTTATTGACCGTTTTCCTGGTTTTCATAGCATTATAAATATTGCCCAATTTCACTTCCTAAACCGTAGATATGCTTTCTCCTACACAGTTGCAAATGTGACTGCGTAATTGTTTGTGTTACAAAATGTAAAATTAAATTGGAATTACTTTTCACTAATAATAACTTTATTTATTTTTAGGATGCGAAATTAACTGTTAATTATACATGTGGCAGCATCCGAAAGGTAATTCAAGCATTGTTTATTACATTAGAAAATGTTAGTAAAGTAGTAGTAAACGAGAGAAATGAATTCCAAGTTTTCATTAGAAAATAAATACCTTCGAGTATAAACATTAATTAATAAATCAGCTCACTTTCAATAGTTCAGTCTAGTATAGAAACAAAATAATACACAAATACATTATACAAGTATTTTATTTATCATTTTATTTTTTACAGACTCTAACTATCAATATCACACCGGTAAATGAATTTGATCCAGTTTTTAATAGATCGCCTTTCTACATAAACGTCAAAGAAGTAAGTTAAACATATTCATTGCCTTTTTTAATAAGTACAATAAATAATCTAGAAGCATCTATATCTACAGAGCTCTATAAGTAGACATTTGGCCAGGATCACATCTGTCACATGTGTTTTATATGAAACCACTAAACGTTGACTGTAACACGATATTCGGCTTAGCTGCATACGGCAATATGCTGCATATCATTGTTTATAGCTTATTTTAATAAGATGTAAACAGATTTTCACCTAGGCAACAACTACGACGACTATGTCTACATCAACGACCACGACTATTTTACGACCACGACTATAATTAAAAAAAAAATTGATAATTACAATGACAGCTACAACTAGGACCACGACTTTTACGACTACGCAAACGATTACGTTCATTATTACGTCTACGAATTATACGTCGAGAAGTACGGCTACGGCTACGATAATAAAGTGCACAAATAAACTTTAACAACCTATTACTACGAGAACAGCTAAGACTTCGACAGAGATTACAACTACGACTTGATAGACTACGCCGGCAACTACCCCGACTACGACTATGATTTCTACCTCTTATGACTTACCAAGACAAGGACACGAATACATTTTTAAAGACTATATACCGACAACTATGGTCACGACATCAACCACGACTACGTATTTAAAGACAACATCTCCGGCGACTACTTGACCACGACTACTACGACAACGACAACCTCGGCCACGAGTATTCTGAATTTCAACGACTACTTAAACAACTACAACTTACAGGTTGAGTACTAGTTCTAAGTTTTATTCAGTAGGAGTTTGATTTTACAACTACGACTTTCACTTCAACAACTTGGCCACGAATACACCGACGGCTACTATTTTGACCACAACTACAATTACTATGACTATTTTACGATTTTAACTACTTCCTTTATATATACCGATACGATAATATTGGATAATGATAATAATACCTTTAAGTTTGTGACCTACGTCCAGCGTATACAGCTTACCTTAGCTGTATACGCTGTCAACCAACCTTGAAGAGGTACTCAACGGTTATCGCTTTCCAGAGATCAAATTCGTCAAGAAACAGTCCACTACTTACTGTCTGTGATAAACATCATTATACATTAAATCACGCGTTAAAACATAATTGAACCTTTCATAAGAATAAGAAACAACAATTTCTGAGGCATAGTGAGCATCAATGACATTATTATTATCGTAGTTAATTTTACAATAACCAAAGCACATTTAAAACGTTTAGAGTTGTACCTCATTGTGTTTATCTCTACCCAGGAATATTTCTCTTCACAGGAAATTGCCATTGGGACACAAGTTCTATTCCTCGGCGACAAATGCACTGATGCTGACAAAATAAAATATGGAAATGTGTCTTTGTTTGGCTTGCACCTTTTTGGCATCACTGCTGTACGTACAATTACAGTTGGTAATAATAATAATAATAATAATAATAATAATAAAATAATAATAATAATAATAATGATAATAATAATAAATCTTATAATTCACTTCCATATGTGTGATTAAGACAATGAAATAGAATTTGTTTCTTCAATCTTTTGAGATTTCTTCATAATAAAATATTTTCTTAAAATGAATTATTGGTAAAAACGTTATTGTTGAAATGCATTGAATTGATTATGTTTTAGTTTGATGGTAGAGGACATTTTACAATCGACAATAAAACTGGAAGCATAACAACTAGTACTGAGTTAGATTACGAAAATCTTCCATTGAGAAATTATTTCGTTCTAAACGTTTCAGCGCAGGCAAGTTTGACGGTGCTCACAAATTTAAGGTTGATGTGACTCCCTTTTTTAAACTTATTTTCTTTTCATAAAAGAAATATAAAATGCCAGAAAGTTCTAACATATTTTCATACAAAATAAACACTTGTGACGTAAACAATTTTTACAAGGTCTAACAAATGTGCATACAAGATAAAGGCTTATGCTTTTCTAACATATTTGTATACACAATACACACTTAGGCTTTTAGAAATTTATGAAGCACGAGAAAATTTTTACACTGCATTATAAATACAGGATGACGGTGGCCGTATTACATTTACCACGGTGAATATAACTGTAGAGGACATTGACGATAATTCACCAGAGTTTAGACTCGCGTCATGTCGAGATACATCGCAACAATGTCGTGTGACAGAATATTCAGCTATAACACATAGATTCTATCAGGTATTCTTTAATTTGTAATGAGAAGAAAAAATGTTGTAGAAGTCTTCTTTTTGCCCGTATACTGTACTTTTGCCGTGTTAAATCAGTATGGAAAAATAGTGGTATTTCATCAAGTAAACGATTTTAGTATAGGCTTATAGTATTTTATGTCTACATAACTTGAAAATACCATGTGGAGAAAATATGAAAATTATGACATTCGATTGATCAAACAACGCTGTTACAGTAGCCAGTTTATAAAATGTCATAATGCATATTGCTGTACGCTTTTGGGGCAAAATCTTAAAGAAATATAAAAAAAAATATCAAAAGATCTATACATTCAGAAAACAATGCTTTTTTGAAAAAAGATTTTGGTTTATTTACGTGCCTATGAGAAAAAAATGAAGAATTGGGTTAAGTTTGGCAACTTTCATGAACAACAAATTTTGCCTATCTATATACAATGCACTGTTGTTGAGCAATCAGAAAAAAATGTGGAGAAATATGCTCAATTACTAGCTGGATTATGAGGCAAACTAAATAGTTTGTGAAAGTGTATGCTTGCTGCTTTAAATGTATAGGGCACACCAGTATGTAAACAGATTTGTTGCCGAGTTGCTTCAAAATTATGATGGTATTTTAATGATTATATCGCTGAAATCAATGTACATTGCTCGTCTTTCAGTTGAGTTATAGTTATAAATACTGTTGCCGTATGTTATATATGTGTCTGGCTTAATTCCGTCGTCCGTATGTTATATATTTGTGTCTGGCTCAATCTTAATTCCATCGTGTAACAGTTGAAAAGGGCCTTGCTCACTTTATTTTACGGTAACAACCTTCACATCATCACTAACTACCGTTATGCGGTGCTATTTAAATCCCTTTATTTCCCGCCAGATCTGCGAAGTAACTTTCCTCCCCGTTGTATTGTTTTTCTTATATCTTTTTTATTCCTACATTATGCACATTCCCCATACAAATATTCTGTCTTGTCTAGAGAATTGCTGCAAGATCATTCTTCGATTTGTCCATTTGTACATATTGATATTGTAAATTAACACAAGTTGCTATTGACGGCTTTATTAGCCAGACAGATTTAAATCTATAAAATTAACTATATGATCTCTTCTTGTCTGTTTCTGAATGATACTTTTCATGTATAGTTTTAATGTCCGCATTCACAAGTCATACCTGCCTTTTGCACCCAAATAGTAGTTGTTTCTTATTTGTTTCCATTTCTATTGTCATCTCTTTCAAAGTAAGCCATTACCGGATTTTTTGCAACAGGATTATTTTATATCAAGAAGTTTGGGTGCATATGAACTATATGAACTTATATTTCTACAAAACAACATGGCTGCATAAGATTGTTGTTATTACAGATTTTAATTTCTTGGAATCTTGTTCTAAAGTGATCCATCATTAATCTGGCTAACTCACTTTCTCAATTTCTTTATTATTTGTAAATGAATATTTATTCGAATAATATGTTTATCAGATGATGATGCTTCTATCATTTATAATTTTTCTCTTACCAGGGAAGTTTGTCAATTTTTCCGTCAAGAATATTTGCTATCGACAGAGATACAGGGATAAATGCCGAAATTGTGTACGCAATAGGTAAGACCTGTAGACTAGTAAAGCAAAGGTTTGTAAATAACTAGATTGAAATACATGCAAGTGTTGGAATGAAAGGTTAATTCATGGATGACAACATTTTTTGCACACAGTTAAAGTTAGATTGATCCATTTGTGTGTGTGCGGGGGGGGGGGGGTAGATTTGCTAGTGTCCGTACGTCCGTTCTCATGTTGTGTCGCATGTACCTCAAGATGATGATCAGCATATGATGTTGTGTATCTGGGGTTTCGCGTGCGGATTAATCTAGTTTTGTCAAAGTTATTGCCCTTGATTTAATAAAAATTTGCATTTTTCAACTTAAATTGTGTTTAGTGTCCAACTTTATTTGTCATCCAATGAAAACGCTGTATTTCTTAACAATTCTGTGCGTTAATTTTCATAGAAGTACAAAAGTCGATACTATATCGGATTCCGTTCATAGTCGACTTCTATTTTTCATAGTACGTCATAAAACCGCATAGTGACGTAATATTTTAAAGTGAATGATAATGAGGCCAAATAAAGTTTGACACTAAATATGTTAGTATTCATCCGTGCTGTTCTACAGAAATTAGAAACATTCTCCTGTCGCTATCGCTCCCGTCGAAGTTTCTAATTTCTGTAGAACAGCACGGATGAACACTACATATACGTAGCCCAAGTAGATCTATATGTTTGTGTTCATCCGTGCTGTTAGAACTACAGAAATAAGAAACTTCGACGGGAGCGATAGCGACAGGAGAATGTTTCTAATTTCTGTAGAACAGCACGGATAAATACTATGCGGTTTTATGAAGTACTATGAAAAATAGAACTCGACTATGGACGGAATTCGATATAGTATCGACTTTTGTACTTCTATGAAAATTAACGCACAGAATTTTGAAGAAATACAGCGTTTTCTTGGATAACAAATAAAGCTGGACACTAAACATTATTTGAGCCATGAAACTTTACAGAAATGTTAGTCAGGTTGTGTAGTTGTGTACGTGTGGATTTATTCAGTATTTCTAGAGGTATTGCTCTTGACTCATATGTTGACTGATAGGAAGTAAAGCTCATTTGATAATTTATCTGTGATTTAATGTTAGCTGGATCAACGTTTAGCCAAATAATTTGGAAGATACCATCTAATTGGTCGTTGGAGTTGTCACCTAACAATGTCCTTTGTGCATTTGAAAGATGAACCACCGGTAACACACAAATATTATATGCCTCCGGTTAACAAATTTTTGTGTATGATATCAATGATGTATGCATATATTATTTTAGAGAGTGACCACGATATGGCCATGAACATTCGGATCAATAACATTACAGGAGAAGTGGAAATTGTCATGCCATTTGCTAATTTCACTACTTGGACAGATAGTGACGTGCTGAAAAACATCACTCTACATGTCACTGTAAGCATAAATTTGTTTTAATGAAAAAAAAACAACAAAAAAACCCCAAAAAATCCAAAGAACCAAAAATTATTTCATTTTAAACGACATAGCATTCTGGCATAACACAGCATCTCTTCTGGACAAATCGCTTAATATATAAGCATAAATTTGTTTTAATGAAAAAAAACACCATATATCTTTTCACCAGTGACACATTTTAATTGTCCGACATGTTGCGGGTTTAATTATTCAGTTTTGATCAAAGAATTGAACATGATGCATGGTTTTAAACACTATTCTATGCTATTCTATTTTATTTAACTATATATAAATGATTTCAAAAACAAACCAAAACAATATGTTAATGATTTACGGTATAAGTATTGTTTTTCTTATTTGCTTCTAATAAATGATAGCCCATGTTTATTAGAAAAAGATACTTTTCAATTGATAAATATTGTTTAGTTTATACAAATTTATTTTAGTTCGATTGTGTTGGAAGCTATAAGCTTATTGAAACACTCTCGAATCCGTTCCTGGAACCAACCAGTACTAAGCAATGAATGTAAAGTTTCTTGCTCAAGGAAACAACGGTTTGCCCCTGACAGGGTTTGAACCCACGCGGTCAGCAATCCTTAGATTACTAGTCCCAAGCGTTAACCTCTCGGCCACGCCGCCATTTGCAAAATATTGTTTTACTGAAATTACTGTACATAATCATATTGCTTTTAGAACGTACGATGACACGTGTAAATTAATACTGGATAACATTATAAGGAAATGGAAAGTGGTCGGCTTTAAGGCTTTTTTTCGGTGAGTGGAAAGAGAATGTGGTCGCTTTCTTTCTTGCGTCGACATGATTCAGACACCTAGTTTACTATATGGAGAACACTTTCAGAAAATTACGAAGGCACAAAGGTGACATGTGTGTGTGTGTTTATTTATCTCGTGACCACGAGATGCTATGTCGTGACCACGAGCTACTAAGTCGTGGCCACGAGATAGCTAAGTCGTGGCCAAGAGATACTTTGTCATGGCCACGAGTTACTTAGTCGTGGCCACGAGATAGCTAAGTCGTGGCCACGTGATACTATGTCGTGGCCACGAGATAGCTAAGTTGTGGCCACGAGATAGCTAAGTCGTGGCCACGAGATACTATGTCGTGGCCACGAGTTACTAAGTCATGGGAACGAGATAGCTAAGTCTTGGCCAAGAGATATTATGTCGTGGCCACGAGTTACTAAGTCGTGGCCACGAGATAGCTAAGTCGTGGCCACGAGATTGCTAAGTCGTTGCCACGAGATACTATTTTTGTGGCCACGAGTTACTAAGTCGTGGTCACGAGATAGCTAAGTCGTTGCCACGAGATACTATGTCGTGGCCACGAGTTACTAAGTCGTGGCCACGAGATAGCTAAGTCGTGGCCACGAGATAAATAACCAATCAGATTACACCATTTATATGAATTTCCCTAATTAACTAGACATGTGCTATATAGTACAAGGATTCCCCTACTTCACCAGCCTGTAAAAATGCCATTTATACAACCAATTGACTGGCCAATAATTTTACAATTAGCGTCACTGCGACCCTGATTTTTGATCCAATGACCTCGAAATTATTAGAATCTTTCTGGGTTATATAAACCATGGCTTATCCCTTCTAAATTATTCATCAGACAAGGATTTTACCTTATATGCTATCTACTGTACATGGGCAATCTCCCTTCCAAATAAAATAAACCAGAGCTTATTCCTTCTCATGTTATCGTATAAACAAGGTTAACAGGCCGTAGTACGTACAAAATGACCAATTCAATCACAAAATTGTCCCAACCAAGAGCTATAGTCAAAATTAATGTCTGATGCCACGACATAGTATCTCGTGGCCACGACTTAGCTATCTCGTGGCCACGACTTAGCTATCTCGTGGCCACGACATAGTATCTCGTGGCCACGACTTAGTAACTCGTGGCCACGACTTAGTAACTCGTGGCCACGACTTAGCTATCTCGTTCCCACGACATAGTATCTCGTGGACACGACTACGCTATCTCGTGGCCACGACTTAGTAACTCGTGGCCACGACCAAGAATCTCGTGGCCACGACTTAGCTATCTCGTGGCCACGACTTAGTAACTCGTGGCCACGACAAAGAATCTCGTGGCCACGACTTAGCTATCTCGTGGCCACGACTTAGTAACTCGTGGCCACGACATACACGACTTAGCTATCTCGTGGCCACGACTTAGTTACTCGTGGCCACGACAAAGTATCTCGTGGCCACGACTTAGCTATCTTGTGACCACGACTAAGTGACTCGTGGTCACGGCATAGTATCTCGTGGCCACCTTTGTGCCACCGTAGAAAATGGCGCTTGTGACATGTATTTATTTTACGACGTCATGAACATTGTATTGTATTGTGTATGTATTGTTTTGTTAGCGTGGGCCGGGTCGTGTACCCCTTGTAGTTTGCAATTTCCACAGAATCGTTATTTGTGAACATATTATATTGATTTTTTCGCTGTATATTGTGGACATGTTAAGATATTTTTCATTTGTAAAATTGTGTACGTAAATTAAAAAATATATACAGTAGAGCTGCAGTCCTTTTACTTTTTAAAGGAAAATAAATGTCAGTAACTTAGGAATTTGAAGATAACACAACGACTGTGCAATAGTAATGCCAAATCAATGGCCGAACAAGTAATGCATAGTGCTTATTATAATCACCAACAAATATAACTATATTATAATCTAAGCTATTTGTTTACCTCACTTTAATCGTCTATTTAGTGCTTTAGTTTCAAGTTCTGTGTATTATGTATTAATCGTAAATTTCCTAAAATTTTATTTGTAGGCGACAGAAGAGTCTACTTTTTCTCATCAAACAAACATTAGTTTTACAATTCTTATATACCGGGATCTACCGACCACAACTAGTTTGCCAACGACAACAAACACTAAATCATCAACACCAACTACCGCAGCCAATAACAGAAAAACTGAATCTCAGATCGATCCTATACTTCTTGTTGAAATTGTTGTCCCTATTTGTCTGGTTATTGTTCTTGTTATTTTTGTAATCTGCATGATTCGAAGTCGGAAAAGGAGACAACGAGACACCAGATACAAGCTAACGGAAAGTCAAAGACTTGAAAAAATTCGAAAATCAAAACAAAATGAACACGAAAATATTGACGTCATTTCCTCTACCCCAATCAATCCATATGAGTTAATTAATATGTATGCAAGAATGGATTCGGACAGGAACAGCAAAGAAGGGAGCTCAAAGTCCAGCAAAACGGAAGATGATTCATCAACATCTAAAGAAAGCGCACACTATAACAAAAATGAAAATATTATGAATTTACATAGTGAAACAACCGGAAAAGATGTAGATCTTTATGCGAAAGTGCGCATACCGCGAAAAAGGCAAAAGCACACTATGTCCTTTTTGAATGATGCATTTGACAACATTGAACAAGTAGAAAATGAGGGCGATTTCACTGTATCTGAACGCGACTCAGGAGATGATTCGGCCATGACAGTTTGTGACGACAATTTGCGCGAACGGTCAATGGAAATTTCTGATACGGAGGCCGAGACCGGACACAATTATGTTAATACGGAAGATGTAAGGGAATTTCTAGAATAAACCTTCTGAAAAGTCGATAATGTGATGTTGATGAATTTTGATATTTATATTTTATACATGTATATGTTACAATCGCATATTAAATTTTAGACATAATCTATGTTATATGAATACTTTCATCATTTTCATAAGGGAATGAAAGGATTAAAACAGAAAGATAACTGATAAATGTGCTGCGTGCATTTCCAATTATTTGTATACATAGTATCTATTAAATATATATAATAAAACAGAAGCAGACCTAAGGTGATTTTATATTTACTATGTACATTACACCCAAACGTTTATTGTAATTTTAGATCTAGTTCAATTCCAGCATTTCTAATGCAAAGGTGAGTAATTTTAGTCATTTTTATATTCTGCTGTATAAATTTTAAGGGAAAAATATGTTAGTAGATAAATATAATTGACTACCAGCAAATCGATTATGCAGATGCACAGGCGCTAGTCACATAATCAAATATTTTACATAACCGGTCTATATATGTTTATTTTATGTTTTTCAGTGGATTACTGATTTATCCGTGAAAATTTATATATTTGATAATTTCACAGTGATAATTTATTATTGTTGACAATTCTGACATTGGCAGGGCTGTTTAGAGAAAAGCAAAGCTGAAATTGATAAATAACTTAAATTTCAAAAGTAATGAAAAGAAGAAAACTTCATACAAATTAGTGAAATTACCAATCACCAAATATCGTCTATAAATTTTTGTTTCATTTTTACAGTCTGAAAAATACAATTCCTTCCACATGCAGAACTGCTCTTGCTGACATTTGGGCATATTTAAGTATCCTACGAGCAATAACTGCCTAATAACTTGAAAAGCAATGATATACATCAACCCGAAGAATAAGTAAATAACCCTGCGTTCGTAAGTTTGTAAGGCAGCCTTTCAAAAAGTCCATGTGTTCCAATTTCCTAGTGCGCAAGAAGTTTCCTGTGTGTCAGTGTATGAGTTGTGACCTTTTCAGTTCCCTGCGTATCAGTGTTTTAGTAGTGCCCTGCGTGTCAGTGTTTGAGAAGTATCCTCTTGGTATCAGTGTTAGTAGTATCTTGTGTGTAAGTGTTGCAGTAGTGTCCTGGGTGTCAGTGTTGCAGTAGTGTCCTGTGTGTCAATACTTTCCTGTGTGTCAGTGTTGCAGTAGTAATGTGTCAGTAATGTGCTGTGTGTAAATGTCCTGTGTGTCAGTAGTGTCCTGTGTGTTAGTGTTGCAGTAGTGTCCTGTGTGTCAGTAATGTCCCGTGTGTTAGTAGTATCATGTCTGTCGGTGTTGCAGTAGTTTTTGTGTGTCAGTAGTGTCCTGTGTGTCAGTGTTGCAGTATAGGCCTGTGTGTTCTGTGTGTCAGTATTTTTCTGTGTGTCAGTATTGCAGTAGTGTCCTATGTCAGTGTGTTTTGTGTGTCAGTATTCTCTTGTATGTCAGTGTTGCAGTAGTGTCCTGTGTGTCAGTGTTGCAATAGTGTCTTGTGTGTCAGTGTTGCAGTAGTGTCCTGTGTGTCAGTAATGTCCTGTGTGTCAGTGTTGCAGTAGTTACCTGTGTGTCAGTGTTGTCCTGTGTGTGGGTAGTGCCCTGTGTGTCAGTGTTGCAGTAGTTTCCTGTGTGTCAGTATGTGTGTTGTGTCTCTTGACTTCGTGTTGTATGTATAGTGTCATGTGTGTAAACATTTGAGTAGTGTGTGAGTAGTTTTTATTAATTAATTAATATACGAAAGATTGTTAGTATTTTAGTGAAGTAGAAAGATTGTTAGTATTTTAGTGGAGTAGCGGGGGATCGAACTCGCAACCCCTAGATTTGTAGTCAGACAGTGTTACCACTGCACTACAGCGCCCGCTCTGATTTATAACTATTTTGGAAGTCCCTTTATACAAACTTGAAATTGAGTAATGCAATTTAATTTTCACACCTAAATAGTTAATATAGCTGTTAGCTCTAAAGTGTTTTACAATGGCTGACATTCGTATCCTTGCTCGAGGGGTTATGATAAAGGACTTTACAAAAACGAGTAGTAAAAAGAAAATAAGTAAGACTGTTGACAGGCAATAAAAAATGCCAGAAAAAAACATGTTTCGTTAAATAGAATCGCAGTTCTAATATTGACAGTAAGTAAGCGAAATTACTAGTAATACTTGTTGTTAATGATAAATGATGGTTTGAGACAAGTCTTTTTAATTTAATTTTCACATGTTAAAGATAACACTGTTAGTGGAAATTAGGTGAAAAAAGTATGTAAAAGCAGCAAAATTCCAGCCTCATACTAATTTTTATAAAAAATTAAAAAAATTAATGTAAATTAAAGGTAAAACATTTTCGAGGGAACAAAGAAACTAATTTACATATCGCAAAGAACACTTTCAATCCACGTAAATTAGCAAATAAATTTCGAAACAGCAAAAAAACAACAACAAAAATAACCAAAAAAAACCCAAATATATGACACGTTAGATGAATTCTACCAAATGGTATTACCCCGCACTCTACGTCGACCAAGGCACACAGAACTTTGGTTATTCGCGTGAATCCTCAGCTACCTACCAGAATGTAGTTGGTAATTCGGATATTGCATGGATATTAACGGTTAACAAATGTTACGGTTATATAACAAGATATGTGTTTCCACAATATGGTAACAACCCTTCACCATACATCGCCCAAGGCACACAGATGGTTATTCGCGTGAATCCACTACTACCTATCAGAAGGTAGTTGGCAACTCGAACTTTGCATGTTTACCCATGATAACAGAAAGTGTTTTTTCCAGAATAAATATGACGGGTATATAGCAAGATAGATGTATTCTTCAACATTGAAAAACCCCGTCTCCCTATGTCCTCCAGGGGACTCAGTTGGTTTTTCGCTTGTATACAAAACTACATACTGGAAGGTAGTTGGTAATTCGGATATTGCATATATTCCTCCGAAAACAAAGTATTTTTTTCTGAAACAAATGTTACCGTTATATAACTAAATATGTGTTTTCTATATGTATAATATGGTAACACACCCTTCACTATAAATCGACCTGGGAACTCAGCTGGTTATTAGCTTGAATCCCAAACTGCCAACCAGAAGGTAGTTGGTTATTCGAACTTCTGGTAGGTAGTCTCTAAAAATAGAAAAAAAATCACAAAAAAGTTACAGATATATGACAAGATAGAGGAATTCTACCAAATGGTATCACCCCGTCTTTATACGTCGACCAGGGGACCCAGTTGGTTATTTGTGTGAATCCCCAACTACCTACCACAAGGTAGTTGGTAATTCGAACTTCTGCTGTTAGATAGTTTGGAATTCGCGCGATAAACAACTATATAGGTTCCCTCCTTTATTCTGTGTTTAAAAATGTATGATGTGTTCTAACATTTCATGCTGGTGATAGTGGATTGAATTGCCAACTACCAGCTGTTGAATAGTTGGGAATTACGAATAACCAACTATCAGCTAGTAGTTTGAATATCCAACTACCTACCAAATTGACGCTCATTCATTTTTTGTATATTTAAAGGGACTCCACTGAGGTTTTTTACATGATGGTACTGAAAATAATTTTTCCAGATAAATGAACTATTTGATGTAGGTTTAGACCAGTAATCTTTGCGCAAAATTTCAGATCATTCGCGCACTTTGTTTTTTTTCCGAATAATTATTCAAATTGTAAAAAAAGGACCCAAAATGATAAGCGTTTAAACACTCAAATCGGGCTTAAAAGCATAAAAACACGATTTCCAATTTTATTTTAAAGTATTTTTCTTAACTATTTTTGCATAATTTATATTTCTGTTTTAAGTGCCCCATCTCATTTATGTAAGACATTCAAATGTTATGTTTTAAGGCTTTTAAACCTTAGTGGAGTCCCTTTCACAACATTACGATTAGCGGATAGAATAAATTCTATACAGTGATAAGCCATCAGTTTTATAAATGATTTTCACATTTTATAAATTCCTTAAGTAGTTAAATGTGTGTTTTGGAAAGTGTCCGCATAAATACCTAAATTATTTAAGTTTTATTTTTAATGACATGCAGAAATAAAATAAACGCAAGATTAATGTAAAGTTCTTGCCTACCTTTTTGAAATGTATGCTTTGAAATACATGTACGTAACGATTTTATGTTTTAGCGTACGTAACGTTTAACTTTTTATTTCTAATGGGTCTTTAAGTGTTCTCCTTTGAAAATGGCTTTAGGTAGAAACTATTAGAAACCGGATAGCATACGGACATTCTAAAACTAATAACAATTGCAATTCATATTTAAAAAAAAGAAGAAAACAAACTAATAACAAGGGTTAACATTTTATCTAGAATCTGTGAGCAGAGTTTATATTGTCAAATGTTTAGCCGGTCACTAAACTGTAAAGATATTTGTTATTATTTTGGTGAATAAATGCCAGTGCGTTATTGAATACAGATGTTCTCTTTACATGTTAGCTTGTTGTTTGTAAATATTTATCTTATATTATTTCCACACCGATTATTTGCTTTCGAAATGAACCTCGTTACCGTCCAATATAATTGTATCTTCTGTATTGGACACTATCCAATATGAATTTTTATGTACCATTAAGGATAAAAGCCGATAACGATAAAGTATCCGAATGATGTCTGTACACAGAAAAATCAATTTGGACTCACCAGGCTACTCGTCCAATATAGGTTTACAAACTACATGTAATCCTGTCCAAATATATACCTTATGATTTTACACCTTATAAAATACAACCAAAGAACTTTCAGTCTTTAAACCACGTGATTTTTCCAATAGAATTCAATAATGGATCCAATTTTATCAATTTAGCATTGATTCGATTTCCAGAGTCCATATAATCCATATAAAAGGCATATCGTACCCCATATAGCCTCGTTTTCATTTTCAAAATCCAAAATATTTATATCAAATGCATATCGTACTCCATCTAGCCTCGCTTTCATGTTCAGAGTCCAAAAATCATATCAAATCCTTAATTGTACTCGAAGTAAGAGTTCTGTAAAAAGAACGGTGCTGTGAAGTAAAGATCGAGGTCATTTAAACGTGTACATTATTCAGAACAATACTGATTCTTTTGGACTCGTACACAGCTGCAAAACCTTTATCAGACTCGGCTGTGTACTCGAGCAATAGAATTCAGTATTAAACCTTACAATGTAAAATAACTTCGTATTATTATTAATGTAAAGAAATAGGATGCCTTCTTAATTAGAGTTGATAACCAGAGAACTTTCCTTATATTGTTAATGTT